CAGAAAAAGTCTGTCTGCCACCGTTTATCTTGTGGCGCGCTGGCGACGTCCGCATGGCAGCCGGGACAGCCACGTCGGCAGAAACTATCAGCTGACGGCATGAGACGGACCCATCTGCGCCGGACTGTTTACACAGGCGACCGGAGCCGGGCCGGCCGGGTGGCACGGCGGCGACAGGCCAGTCCTGGCGCTGGGAGCCGCGCGCACGCGCCTCCCGCTTCCCGCCGCCGCCGCCGCCGCCGTCCGCCCGCCCCGGTGAGTGCCGCTGAGCGCTGCCCCGGCCCGCGCCAGCCCTGAGTCGCCCCTCCCCCGTCCGGCTACGGAGGGCGCTCGCCTGGCGCGCCGGCCGCCGTCGGCAGCGACGACGGCGGCGACGGCGCACACTTGTCGTCGCAACAGGTGCTAGGCCCAGCCCCGCTGCGCGTGGTTCCGATCGATCGATTCGGGTTCCGAGCACTTACCAGGCCGGGGCTTACTTTTGGCCCGGACACTCACCAGGCCCGAGACCTCACCAGGTCCAGGCGCCAACCAGACCCGAGCACTTACCAGGCCCGGGCACTCAACAGGCCCGGGTTCTTACCAGTAGGCATCGCACCAGGCGGGCACTACAAAGTAGACCCCAACGCTGAGCAGCCCTGGGATCAGGCCAAGTCGAGAACGCACCAGACACAGCTAATCACCGGGCCATCGCCGGTAAGACGGTGACGCTGTGGTTAAGCTGCGCGCTTAGGAAACCAGAGGTACCGGGTTCGATTCCCCGCGTTACCCACCCTTTCTGCCAGGGCGAGAAGCAGGTGATGCCATAGTAGGCAAATGCGTCGGGCCCAATGGCAATAACCATGTATGGTCCGAACAGGCGTTTGACATCCTCGGTGATATCTCCTGAGGTGTCATCCTTTGTAACGCCTCAGATGTCATCCTGGGGACATGCCCGGTCACATACCAGTCACATCCTGGTCACATCCTGGTCACATACCGGTCACATCCCGGTCACATCCCCAATCACATCCTCGGTCACATCCCCACTCACACCCCCGGTCATATACCAGTCACAGCCTGGTCACATACGGGCCACATACCGGTCATATACCGGTCATATACCGGTCACATCCCCGATCACACACCCAGTCACATACCGGTCACATCCCTGGTCACACTCCCGCTCACACGCCCGGTCACATCCCCGGTCACGCACCAGTCACATCCCTGCTCACATGCCCGGACACATACCGGTCACATCCTGGTCACGCCCCCGGTCACATCCCCGCTCACACCCCGGTCGCCTCCCCGTTCACACCGCCGGTCACATCCTGGTCACATCCCCGGTCACATCCATGGTCACACCCCCGGTCGCCTCCCCAGTCACATCCTCGCTCATACCCCCGGTCACATCCCCAGTCACATCCTGGCCACGTCCCCGGTCACATCCATGGTCACACCCCGGTCGCCTCCCCAGTCACATCCTCGCTCATACCCCCGGTCACATCCCCGGTCACATCCTGGTCACGTCCCCGGTCACATCCCTGGTCACACCCCCGGTCGCCTCCCCAGTTACATCCTCGCTCATACCCCCGGTCACATCCCCGGTGACATCCTGGTCACATCCCCGGTAGAATCTGCACGCCTAATGCACTCGTGACCGTGATAACGATAACGCACACACTTTTCGTGTGGACTCGGTATCAATGATATTTGAATAATACCACGGTTGAATAGGTGACTTCCATGGTAACTAGACAACAATGTATCTATCGCGCTGTCTCGGCGAGGGGATAATAAACACCGCCGGTAGTGGGCCTTGAACCCCCGGCATTTCTGTTGTAAGAGTGAAGGCGTGTCACTGAGACGCGGTTGTGCACAGCAGGGCAGGGCGCACCTGAGGCCACCAGCAGGGAAACAACGAACGTAATTAGAAACCGTTCTGTCTAGACTATACGCCAAACGTAATCTTGCTGACGTTTAAACGGGCCCTTCGCATGTTCCACTATTCTGACGTGCCCCATGCATGCGCTCAGCGCTGGTGTAACGTTTTTCGTTGGGAGTTTTTACATGCTCTGGACAATGTCCGCCAGAGCTTTGACCATGCCGTGCTCGGTTTTTCGGGGCGTACTTCGGGCGTTCTCAGACCACCTTGGGTATGCTCTGAATCGACTTCGACCGCGGCCTACACCGACCGCGCCAGCTTGAGCTCCAGACCAGTTCAAGCTCTGAGCCCTGGCCGTGTTCTGGCCGTGCTCTGGCCGTGTTCTGGCCGTGCTCTGGCCGTGCTCTGGCCGTGCTCTGGCCGTGCTCTGGCCGTGCTCTGGCCGTGCTCTGGCCGGGACAGACCGGGTCACTCCGTCGTAGCATACCCATCGGGCATGCATCGAGCGCGGCCGTGCCCTGGCCGTGCTCTGGCCGTGCTCTGGCCGTGCTCTGGCCGGGACAGCCCGGGTCACTCCGTCGTAGCATACCCGTGCCCTGGCCGTGCCCTGGCCGTGCCCTGGCCGTGCCCTGGCCGTGCTCTGGCCGTGCTCTGGCCGTGCTCTGGCCGTGCTCTGGCCGGGACAGCCCGGGTCGCTCCGTCGTAGCATTCACATCGGGCATGCATCGAGCGCGGCCGCCTCGCCAAATAAGCCGTCGCCCACGCCGCCGTAATGCATTCATCCCGGCGGCGTCGGGCGCCTGTCCTTCCCTGGCGTTAACCTTGAGCGCACAGTTTGAAGGGCACAGAGGACATAGCATCGGCCAGTGGAGTGCAGTTTGCTGGGCATTTGACGGGATTGGTTTCAGTCCATTGGATTGTCACTTCAGGAATGAGAGGCCTGTGCCTGCAGGCGTCCCCAGAGTTCAGGGCCAGACATCTCCGAGCTCAGAGCAGGACGTCTGGCAAAGCCTCAACTCAAAGGTCGCGGAGCACGACGGCTGCTAGAGTAAACACCGCTCAACACATTTAATGAGCTGGTATTGGGGGCGATCGAAATCCTGACGCACTTCGGTCAGCTGTCATCAATCAACTAAGGTGACAAATATTTATGCGACGAATAATAAAAATGATGAGCTGGAAGGAAGAAAGAGTGTGAGAGAAAGGAAGTGGAACGAAGAGGAGTACAACATGAGGGGAGGAGGAGGGCAAAGCAAAGAGAGCAAGAAAGAAAGAGGGCAAGAGCGGGAGGATGGAGCCCTTGGCGGATTTGAGCGCATGATGAATGGATTTTCAATCTGGGAGACTGCAGTCGGTGTCAGCGGGTGGTGGTCGAGCTCCCTCCGTCGGCCGTGTCAGTAGCGGCCGAGCTCCCTCCGTCGGCCGTGTCAGTAGCGGCCGAGCTCCCTCCGTCGGCCGTGTCAGTAGCGGCCGAGCTCCCTCCGTCGGCCGTGTCAGTAGCGGCCGAGCTCCCTCCGTCGGCCGTGTCAGTAGCGGCCGAGCTCCCTCCGTCGGCCGTGTCAGTAGCGGCCGAGCTCCCTCCGTCGGCCGTGTCAGTAGCGGCCGAGCTCCCTCCGTCGGCCGTGTCAGTAGCGGTCGAGCTCCCTCCGTCTGCCGTGTCAGTAGCGGCCGAGCTCCCTCCGTCGGCCGTGTCAGTAGCGGCCGAGCTCCCTCCGTCGGCCGTGTCAGTAGCGGCCGAGCTCCCTCCGTCGGCCGTGTCAGTAGCGGCCGAGCTCCCTCCGTCGGCCGTGTGAGCAGCGGCCGAGCTCCCTGCGCGCATGACCGATCGGCTGGATGGATCGGATCGGTCCGCCAATGGCGGGCCTCCCAGCCGTCGCCCGCCCGCCAGCCAAGCCAAACCAGTTTGTGTCCGCCTCAAAACCGGTTTGTAGTCCTTCGTTCTGTCCTCTGGGACTTCCATTCCCACAATTATGTATTTTTTTCTCCCGTCATATCTTTTACTACCGCTCTGTCTCTCGGTTAATAACGGAGGGTTGGGTATCTTGCATTAAGTTTCTCTACTCAGTTCAATTCGCCAGCATTCCGCCATCTCCCGCACTTGTGGTTCGGTCGTTTGCTGTCTGCTTCGTTGTCTGTATTTCCAGGGAAGTGCAAATGTCTTTCGCCTTTCATATCGTCCAGATAACTCCATTTGTGCTTTTATTCATTGCCTTAAATTGCTACCCAAAATACATTCACCGTGCGACTAATCGAGTTGTTCCAGCCAGTTGTATTCTCCAAGTACCCACAAGCCTCCATTGGCACATGTACAGCTAAAATTACGACAGTCATCAACCTGTCGTGTTTACAAAGAAAGACATATGCTTTTGACTAGGCTGCAAATGTGCGTCATGGAAACCTCGCGGATTACGCAACGTCCGCCTCATAAAAGCCGCAAATCCTGCAAAGTCGGACAGTTAGAAGTTCTTTGAACAGAAATATGCACGGATTACCTTCCTGAACCCTATCTTGCGCTACGGATGGGCGGTTGAACCCAGGAGTGTCGTGGACACAGCTTTTCGAACTACTGTGCTTCTGGGAAGTTATCTTATGTTATGTTATGGGTAGGTTATTCTAGAAGGTGGCTCGTAACAAAGTGATGAGTCCGAAAGCGTCCGTTGTTCTGACGCACTTAAAAACATCCAGGAGTGCCAGGATATATTTATCGTGCCTCACTGAGTTTGTACTCTGCTCGAAATTGCTGGAACGGAGCACAGCTGCAAGCCCAATGTATCTGCGTTCACCAACAGGTGTAGACCTGCTGGTGGACTAGACGGTGTGGCAATGATTAATCATGGGCAGCCGGGGCAGTGATTGGGTTTCTGCCAGCAGTGCCTGCCGGCTGTCCACCGGTCCGACGCAATCTCAAGTAGACGTCCACCGGCCCCCACGTATCGTCATGCATCTTAGCTCTCGCTAATGACCAGACTCTTGAAAACATGGCCCGGCCACTTCTTATGCAGTCAATAGTCTTATCTTGTGTTGCCACTGATCCGTTCGCGGCCGCGTCGGCGTGCGGCCGCCCACAAAAAGCGTCGGAGTTCCTGACGGGCCGTCTCGCTGCTGCGTTCGTTAGCCTTAACCGGTTTTTGCCCAGACCTGGCCGTAGAGTCGGACCAGTCCTCCGACCTCGGGTCAAGACAGGTGCAAGACATGGCCAAAATCGCCCAGCGCATGATACATGACGGTAAGTGTTCCGTGCACCGCCGTGTCTGCGGACGGGCATCTGTTGGCTCGTTGTTTGAAGCTCTCTGTTCACACCGCGGCCGCTATCGGGGTACCTGCACAGCTGCAAAGTGCAGACCAATCTCACGCGAACCGTCACAGAGGTGTCGCCTGTCCCCGCCCGTTTCCAATGCTGTAAATGCAGCCCCGCCCCACACGCGCACGGTTCATCGGCGCCCCCAACGTTGGAGGCACGGTGCAACTGCTCGGGGAGGACGGCCTGGCCGCCCGTCATGTGCCGTCGTCGCCAGCGGCGTCTTCACCTGATGCCACGCAGCCTCTCCCACGCCGGCCGCGTGATTGGCCAGCAGCGAGCTGTCAGCCGCGACCGGACCAGACCAGCCCGCCCGGGTCGGCACTCAGTGCAGCGGTGCCCCGCGTGCGGCATGCAGTGGGCGCCGGCACGGTAGAAGCCGGGCATGGCGGCGCCGGGTAATCGGACCGGGCGGATCTGTCCACGGCCAGATCCATGCGTTGACCGCCTATTGGCGCCACTGGGGATTTCCGCGTCTGTGGTGAGGCTAAGCCGCCACCCGGGGGACGCCTGCGACTTCGAAGATTCAGCACAGAATCTCAGAAAGCGGCCAGGCTGGAACCCAGACAGGAGAGTCTGGTCTAGTCAATGGCAGAGGCCACGATCAAGCCGTAAAAACGTACAGCCAACCATGGAAGAACAGTTGCCTGCGGAGAAGGAAACGAAAAGGGGCATCCGTGAATAGGAACTGATAGTTATGTCTGAATGCCAACATTCCTAGATGTTTTCTTGGCGATGGAACGCAGCATTATCATGCGCGGCCCAGGTCGACTATCGATGCTCGAAAAACTAAGCCGTGGTCGTTATGCATGGTTATAGACATACCGCGAGTGCGGCTTGCAGCACAGATAGCTGCGTGGCTAAGTCGAATAAACGTGCGATGCATGACCAAACATGTCAACAGAGTGCGCTCCGCCGGTACCAGACGCTGTTGACTGGACCGGAGGTATTGTAGGGTCTTCTCCTCGATCTGAGCGCGACGCTCCGCCGGCCGCGCCGCGTGCCCTGCGGGCTCGATCATGTGATGACATACAGGTGTTTCTCGTCGACCGCATTCGCTCATTTCAAGGTAGCGTTCCACTCCATGAGCAGCGGTGGCACCGCTTGTGAATCAGTGCCGAGAGCGGAGACAGAAAACCGCATTACCTAGGTGGTTGGCCTGGTCACTGCGCGAATCTAGGGAACGTGTGGGTGTGGTGCGGAGGGGACGCCTTGTGCTCATGACTCGCTTTCTCGCGTCACCAGCTCCGTCTAACGCGCCCACACCTCACCACCGCTAACCCCGCTAAACAACCCCGCATAATCGATGGCTTCGCTGAACACCCCCGCTCCTTCACTAACTAGCTTTGCTGGACACAACCCGCCTCATTGCTACCTTTGCTGGGTGCGTCCTTGCTTTCCACAAGCCTCCCTTGGAATCATCTCGTTAGGCTGTAAAAATAAATACGCGAACATCACTCAGCCATCCGTTTTGTTACGAGAAAATTGCGCAACTCCTTCACCCTCGGATTACTGACACATCCGACCTTCAGAGCTGCACACTGGTTCACCCTTCGAGCCACTCCTGTGGACAGGTTTCCCAGTACAATTTGTGAGACAAGCCTGAGAGCTTTTGCATTGTCCAACCAGTCAACGCTTGGGACAGGTGTGGAATCGGCGATTTTTTCCTGCACGAAAACCGACAGATTTGCAATCGGATTTAGGTGTGGGCTATTACGATGTCAAACCGCGCCTCCCCTGAACGAGCTTAGCCTTGTTCTTTTTGTAACGCTCTTAGGCCTTCTTTGTAGAACGAAGAAGAGACAGTCTTGCATCACGATTGGCTTCGCTGTCGCCCCAACCTTGCCATGGCTGATGAAGACTCTTCACTTTTCCAAGCATGTCATTCACGAAGTCTTGTCAAAATATTCCCACTAGGTTGTGAACAATTAAGCGTAACGTATGAGATAACTATCTCAAGTTCTCAAAGCCCGAGGCTGCTCAATACATTTAGAGCGTGCGCTATTGCTTGATGCGTACCGGGCAGAACATTTGCTATTTCCAAGCTGCCGATGGTCTCGCAAGTAGTGCACCACACTTTTTGTCCACGAATTTTTCAATTACACCTGAGTCTTCACAGTCCTGGAGCCGCCGCTCAAGGTCAGTGCTCATTGGAGCAAGCATGGTCCGGGTGTTCCCTTTCCACCCAACACACCCCGTGCCGTACCTTTTGGCCTCTTCCGTCGCGCCAGCGCAGCGGCTGACTGTGTCCCGCCAGTGGTCCTGCTGATGTCGCTCGCAGAGTCTTCACTGCCCCATGTCAGAAACTGGGTGAGGCTGTGCCTCCAAAATCTGCATGGATTTTGGTGCTAACCACAGAGTAAACGTAGAATTCCGAAGTTGCTGAAACATTCGCGTGATGCATTCACACCCCGTATCCCTGCCCACAGTACAGAGGCTTAAGCCGTGGCTTGAGGGCTGAAACTTTGCGCCTGTTATGGTGTGACTTTTTTAATTTTTGGGCAGGTTACAATATTGATCACAGTAAGACTGCTTATCTTCAAGAAGTATTAGTGCTTGAAAAAATATATGACAGACAGCAGCGTGACGATGTTACCAACTATTCCCAATGTAATGTTAAAGCAAATTATGTACTGCTTGTTTGCTTTGAACGTCACATATCGGCTGCGCCCATGCCCTGCCTTTTGCTGGCGCGCTTGCGTTTCGAAGCAGCGATGCATTTAAGCTCGGCGATAAGCCGGGTCGGGCTGGCCTGGTCCGCCAGGTGGCGGGTCAGGCGGCGCAGTCGGCGCATCCGCGGCCCTACATTCAGGGTAGGCGTCCACACAGGCATTCCCGGCACACCACCTATAGTTAGATAAAGAGTGCGGTACCCACCTGTCTGTGCTGTTATTTTCGCGGCTTCATGCCATAATCGCAGTTGCTTAACTCATAGAAGTGAAGAAAAAAACTCCTTCATTTAATGTTGATGCAGCGAAATTCATTACAAATTATCATTCTAATGTCATACGCATTATTTACATTTTAATAGATTTAGTATAATTTATTATTATATTAGAGCAGCTTTTGCCAACCCCTTCGCAAATTCACCTCCAAGCCACAGGCCACCTATTCCGGCACCGGCGACCTGCGACGCGCACGAGGTACGCGCCCCTCCGCTGGCGCCCTGGACGCGCCCGTGTCAGCCGCGCGCGGCTCAGCTGATCGGGCCGGCCGAGTGGGACGCCAGCAGTTGCCCGGGTAACAGGTGCCGGCATTCGGTGCAAAATATCTCCGGCCGGCGTCCGCGACCAGTCATTAAAGCCCCCGCCGGACGAGAAAGGCCAAAACAAGGCGGCAGCGCCTCAGGCTGGGCAGGAGGGCCGGCGCGTACTCCTGACATTCGGCGCAAACATTCCCAGCTGACAAAAACACAAACGGAGGAAAACAACAATCAGTGATGGCGTGGCTCTATGACGATGCCAAGGGTTTTAGGGCGCGGCGACTATACAAACCTGCCAATAACCTGCTAAATTTGTTATGCATGCATTCTGCTCGGAAAAAGCTTCGTCTTCATCGTTCTTGGCGTTTAGCCCGATTTAGGACACTGTTGTTACAATAACCACCAATTCATGGGCGGGTTATTGTTGCGACCCCCACGAATCCAGGTACCTTCCCAGGACCAGCAAACAAGCCCATCATCACGCATTCATTTTGATATGGGCCGTTACCACCAAACGAACCTGCTTATACCCTCCATGGATAAGCATTATCAGGCTCGCACACCTGGTTCTCGTGCGGAGGGGTCCCAACCTCGGCCATCCCCAACCCAAGCTCCCCTGGGGTCCCCTTGGAAAGAGCAGCAGCTAGACACTCATAAAGTATTTCTTGTTTCCCTTGTGTTCTGATGCTATGTTGCATTGTGCTGCCTGAAATAAGGTAGCCTACTGGAGTCCTAATTTCATGTTTTGTTGGTACCCGGGGTTTGAATTTCCTGTAGGAGGGACATCACGACCCGCGCCTCTCTCCCTGCGTACATTTCCACGCACAATAATGTTGGTAATTGGCACTTGTGTGGGCCTCCTTACACGGCAATTCTTCCCTTTCAGGCTAGAGATAAGTGTCACGGGTCAATGCAAACAGTGCACAGTGTTCCCTCCATCAGTTGTAGCAAACCGTGATACTCAACTCAGCATGGGACTCATGTATGCATCTGTTGTGAGTTGCCAGCGGCCTCGCTCCCTGGCCCGCCGGGCTCGGGCCGCGGGGCAGTGGGGCAGGACCAGATAATACCACTCTGAGAGGTGGGCCAGGACTGGGTGGCACCGCTCAGTGGGTGGGGCAGGACGGGGTAGCACAGGGGAATCGAATGGCGCACCCTCGGGAAAGCATTAAAGGAGTTCTAAGTTTTAAAGCTAATGGCACCGTACTGCTTCCCTACAGCTCAGATGTTCCATTCGAAGTGACTGAGTGTTGTTGCATTCTTGAGCAGCGTTCTTGGTCATCAGTGTCAAACACCTGTTTATTTAGCGAAATTTATTTTGTTGTAGTAGTAGCCCAAATGCTCTTCAATAGGCTCCACAACGTAATCGCTGCTGTGATAGATGATATGAAAGGTCATAATATCACAGTTCGACGGCACATTCCCTTGAATGTGAGCTATGCCACATGGCGGGATCACCTGGGAGCCAGAGCTGTCTGAAATGTGCAGCTTGAGCCACGCGGCCTGCTCTTCTCGCCGTTTTGGCGGTCGTATAAGCCTGTCAATATACATTATAGCTTAACAATAAAGTAAAGGATGACAAATACCTGATACGAGAAAACGTTGTTGAAGCGGGTGGCATTTCGGCATTATGCGTTCCTGTGCTGAAGTTACGAAACTTTAAAATGGCCGAAGGTTTCTCAAAAGTGTATTTTCAACCACAACAGCAGGGAAGTTGAAGTCCTGGAGCGAACTGCTTTGTGGAGACAAATTTATTGCCCACAGTAAGCCTTGCCTTCTAACCTGTAGTAGCACCAGTAATTTACCAGGAAGCACCCAAGGAACCTTTTTAAATAAACCAATACCCGTTTAAAGTGTTGTCTGGCACGCGGTGCCCTGCAGCCCAGAGGCCATGCCGACTACATCGGTGTGTAGTCAAGTGGACCAGGATCAGCAGTGAATCAAAACAGCTGCGTTTGTTCGCCACACTTTGCGAAGTGGCAACGTCACTGCATTGATGAGACCTGGCTGCAGGTGCTCCCGAAGGAGACGGTTTTTTACCTCGCTGCTCCTGTGCGGCTCAGGATGGCTTTCTGATTGAATCACCAGTGAGGCCGTGGACTAAGCTCATCTAACGTCAACTGTCTGAAAATGAAGTCACGTGAAATTAGCCCGATCCTTATTGTAATGGGAATACAATCGAAATTGAGTGATGCATTTACTTACGTTTCCATTCATGAATTTTTACCAAAGGTTCCATTTGATTGAGCAAAATTCATTGAACGAGCATGTCGCTGCTTCGTTTGGTTTGTATCGCACTGAAGGTTCGGGAAGTTTAGCATATATTGATGGCAACAAAGCTCATCAATCTAGAATTATGAGCCAGCCAAGAACACTGATGACAGTGGTCACGACTGAAATGAATTGATGCTGATCCCAGCTATGGCTGGCTCTCAGACTTTGAACTGTATCGAACTGGTTTGCTTATCTCTTCTTTGAGTGACCAAGTCGCACTTTCTGTGATCACGAGCATGAGAACTAGTTCAGCGTGCTCAATGCAGTAGATATTTTTAGATAGCCTTCCATGATCGCACTTTCCCCTTAAAGTAGACTTGATTACGGTTCATTTACCACAGAGCATACTTTCGCTGTTATCGCACGAGTCTTGCGGAGGTGAATTGGTTCTCGCGTTTGAAACCAAAACATGAAGCAAGTGGTCCAACTTGCGTGTTGTGCTTGTTGCCCCACTTTTACTATTATTTGCGCTTTTACTTTTGCAGCTTGTTAATGTTTCTTTTATCCCAGTTATCGTCTGAAATGGGCTCTTTCGCACATTTCCTGTCACAATACGATTTTGTGGTGGGGGCGTCCCCGACAGACCGACCCACCGTGGACGTGGTCGCATGAAGGGCTGTTGTCGACGTCCCTATTTCTAAGAATTGACTCATCCATTTACCAAGATTGGGATCATGCTGCTCAGGAAATGGAAGAGTCATTATCAGCAGCGCTGGCTGACATCTGAGCCGGATCCAGCGACTCTCATCACTGAGCCGGATCCAGCGACTCTCATCACTGAGCCGGATCCAGCGACTCTCATCACTGAGCCGGATCCAGCGTCTCTCATCACTCGCACTTCATCAACGGCAAGATTTTCTCGCAGATTTCCAGCTTCTGTCACCCTGAAATTCTACGACTTCCTATCCGTCATTGTTACATGTTTCCTTAACGCTGCTAGGCTTAATAGCGACAGACAGCAGTAGCATGATTGATCTGATGCCGAAATTTAAATGTTGCAATGTAGGCACTGCCTTCTGCTCAACACCAATCACCAATGTGTCATGTTCCCGCAAAAACAATTATAGTATATATATATATATATATATATATATATATATATATATATATATATCCTGCCCGATGTATATGAAGCATCGGACACATCAAAGAGCAAAGACGCAGCACTCGTACCCAGATACCTGCACACACAAATGCTGTTATCGCCCCGGCCCCCGCCGCCGCCGCTGCCGCCGCCCGGTTGGGTGTATTGTGGCATCCGCGGCGGCGGCGGCGGTGGCGGCCCAGGCTGAGCTTTACCGGCCGGTCGCCGTCCGAGTGAAAGTGCTCGGGACGACAGCGGCGGCCGGGTGGCCGGTGGCCGGTGGCCGGCGGCGGCGGTGGCCGGTGGCCGGCGGCGGCGGTGGCCGGTGGCCGGCGGCGGCGGCGGCCGGGTGGCCGGTGGCGGCGGCCAGGTGGCCGGTGGCCGGCGGCGGCGGCGGCGGCCGGGTGGCCGGCGGCGGCGGGGGCCGGGTGGCCGGTGACCGGCGGCGGCGGCGGCGGCCGGGTGGCCGGTGACCGGCGGCGGCGGCGGTGGCCGGGTGGCCGGTGACCGGCAGCGGCGGTGGCCGGGTGGCCGGTGACCGGCGGCGGCGGCCGGGTGGCCGATGACCGGCAGCGACGGCACCCGTCCTCCTGAGAAGCCCGCCGCCGCCGCCGCCGCCGCCGCCGCCGAGGAGCGGCCGGTCTGGCTGCGCACCGGAGCCAGACCACGTGACCGGAGCGGAACGGTCCTGTGGCATCGAGCCCTGAGCTGTAATCAGCGAGAGCTCACCAAGACATAATGTCACACCTGACGAACGGCATCCAGCTGATATGCGCTCGGTTAGGAAACAACGCGACGTGACCGCCGTCGAAGTTTTCTTTGACGTTAGTGGTCAGCTGGGAATGCCATAGGGCTATGGATGTCAATTGACTTTGTAAGCCACCTTTACCAGTAATGGCCTATACGTTGGATTTTCCGAGCGTGATGGCTTAGTATGCTTTCTCGTTTTTGATGCCTGACGCTAGCAAGACCTGCCTGACTGGTTCGGAGCCTGACAGGGGCTCAGATGCATGGCTCGCGGTTTAAATACTTTTCTTACATCGTCGGAAATACAGCACGGGTGAAAGACGCGTCCCAAAAGGGTCCATTTCCCCAAAAAGCCTTTATTCGCTTGAATTATTGTACTGCCAGCCGCTTAACCGAACTTGGTCGCATAAGATTTTGTTTAACTGCGCCATGTACAAAATAAAGTATCGCGGGATTGAGGATACACTGCCTTCGCATGCACATTACTGCTCCACGCATTAAAATTACGCTTGTATGTAGCCTAACAGAACCTTATGCCTATACATAGCTTCGCATTTCACTACTTAACTACTGATTCGTCATTCCCTTTGAACAGCGGGCTTTTCCCTTGAGAACCCCCTCCCCTTCCCCACCTGACCTGACGCCGCGCCCCGGTGCCCGGGCCGTCACCGGTCGCGTTAACCCGACCACGGGCGCGGTCGGTGGGTGGGGTCAGTGACCCGGCCGCCCGAGATCGGGCGACTTTCTCTCGCCACGGCGGCGGACGCGCCCCGCAGCGGCCGGGCGGCGGTGGCCGCCGCCGCCGCCGCCGCCGCCGGTGCCGACCACCTGACCCGGCACCGCGCCTCCGCCTCGGGCGACCGGCCGGCGCCGCTCGCAGCGCCATCTGCGTCCGCACGCCGCTGCCGTCTCTGCCGCCTGGCCTGGGCAGGCCTGGCCCGGCCCAGGCCGGCCCGGCCCGGCCCGGCTAGGCCCGGCCAGGTCCGGTCTGATCCGGCTAGGCCCGGCTAGGCCCGGCTAAGCCCGGCCAGGCCCGGCTAGGCTCGGCCAGGTTCGGTCCGACCCGGCCCGGCCTGGTCAGGCCCGGCCTGGCCAGGTCCAGCCAGGTCCGGTCCGACCCGGCCCGACCCGGCCGGCTGGCTGGAAATCGTTACCCAAATGTTGGACGCACGTCACAGGGGGGGGGGGGGAGGCTCGTGACCGTTGGATGCACGTCACAGGGGGGGGGGGGGGATCGTAACCGTTGGGTGTAAGTCCAGTAGGACCGAAGATAATAATTGGATATTTTTGTTTTGAGACATATGCTATCCTGCGCTATTCTTGTACAAATTATGTCATATGCTGCACGTTTGAGTTGAAAGCATTGACGCTCGAAGTGCCAGTGAATCTGGATGGGGCTGTCTTTAACCAAATGACGGACGAGGAGATACTCCGGCCACGGCAGGTATCTCCTGCTGTCTAGTTTGACATCAGCACATGGCCTGGTTCTGAAACACGACAAGCAATTATCTCATTCTGTTCTTTCGTTTGAAATTTACAACAACCTGTTGTTTTACATATATCGATAGTGTCTATACAAAGACTACAAATGGGTACTCGATGCTACTGTAGATATAGTGTGATATCATGAGGAATGGGTGGTATGGGCCCGCATTCAAAGCACTGTGAATGTTTTCGCGTCAGATCCTAAGCCCGATCATAGAAAGCTGCTCATTGGTACCAGGAGCGCCGGCAGGATTTTCTTCGGAGGGGGACCCAGCGAGAACGTCTTACGCGCGTTTTGACTTTTGTCAGCAGCCACCTACGTTGAAAAAATACGTGCATGGGGGAAGTCTCCCTTCTAGTGTGAGTTAAACGCTCCCTACAGTAGCCACGATTCTGTCCCAGTTACCAAACTAATGTCTTGTCGAAATTATGATACTTTCCGCCTTACTGATGCTATTAAACGCCTGTTTGGCATTGTTTCTTTAGCTGAATCATCAAAGCGTGCTGTGAGACAAGTCATGGCAAATGACTAAACGGCAATGCACGTTGCATGCTCCCAACGTGTCAAGTACCGTACGATTCCACTGAGGCGCGTAATAGTTGGCGCTGTGCTTCTCTTACAGATATGTACTGCTAATGCGAGCTGTCCAGCCGTGCACAGGGGGTCAATGAGCTGTGGCAATCTTGCTTCGAATTACGTGCATTACGTGAACGCGATGTAACCGCGTGAATAAGCACGTGCCACGTCGCCAAAATCGTGTGTCAGACCCCCACACCATCGTCGACAGTCTGTCACGGTACAGTGCTGCCAGCGCCAATAATTTACACCCATAGTTTGTTGGACTTACGATAGGTGGCAGAGCGGTAGTGCGGTCCAATGCGACCGCCGTCCCACGCCACAGTCCAGCTACGACAATCGTGCGCCCAGTTGGCGGCCAATAAAGTTTAATTTCCTATCTTTCAGGTTGTAAATTCGACTCCCCGGAGCCCATCAACCAGCGGCTGGAGCCTGGAATCTGGTGAGTCCCAGTCTCGCGGCCAGAGACGACACAGGACATTGTCACATTTCGGAACGAAAGACCCGCCTGAGCGCCAAGTACCAAATTGGTGGAGGTCCACCGTTTGCTGTACTTTCACGAGTTGATAGCATCGGTGCGCTAATATCTGATGTTAATTTGGTCATGCAATCTGTTAACTTTATATGTATTTGGTATGACAAATTGTGTAAGTTGCCGAGCTGTAGGTTAATGTTGAAATGTAATGATATCCACACATATTAACTTAATGTTAAAGATATGGTTAAGGGATAATTGATATTTAGATAGGTATGAGCTGCGAACATCAGCTTTCCCCACACCCACTGTCCTGCCACAGATCTGTACCTACCACCGGACAGGAATCCTAGCCTCTCCGGTCCGCCCGAGACAGGGTGGCCAGCACCGGACACTACCCCAGGCCAGCCGACTCCTGACTCAGCGCATCCCATTCGAGGCAGGCTCAGCATCTGCCATCGATCAGAGCGGGGCGACGCATTCAGCGCCGTGCCGGGCCGCGGCCGGCCGCACCGGACCGGACCGGACTGGCTTTCAGGCCCGCTGTCAAAGAGACGCGCCGGTCGCGCGGCGCTCAACGCCGCACCAACAATGTCGCCGCTCGTTTTCATCCGGACCTTGCAAATACCGCTTCCTGACATTTACACAATGTCGAGCGGCAGACCCCGGCCCTTTCGGTCCCCCTCCCCCTCCCCTCCCCCTCTCCCGCCCCCGTCACTCCGCCCCCTCCCCTCGCCTCGCGCCCTGTCGCCATCGGGGCCCACACGTGGCCGGCTGGCGGGGCGGCGCGCGGCCCGGACAGTGACGTGGACACGGCGCCGACAGCTCGCGGGAGGAGGTGGTCGACAGCAACTGTGTGGTGCGTGCTCGCGGCCTGCCCTGGCAGTCATCTGACCAGGACATCGCCAACTTCTTCCGCGGCCTCAACATCGTCAAGTGAGTGAATGCCGATTGTGAGGTCGCATGGAACGTCGTGTCAGATGCACCGCATCACCATTGCTTGGTTACTAGCGATAACGTACATCGTTATTCGTGCTGATTGGTTACCACGACTGTATAACAAACAACGTGCTTCGAAGAAGCCAGAGTTTGATATGCCTATGCCGAGGCTCTCGAACGGGCCATGTGTAGATTTTGAGGATCACAAGACCTGCAGCGGTGTTCTCACCTAACTCGTGCGTCAGGCAACACGCCGCCGCTCAGACGATAACGTAAATCGCGGCGTCAGCCGTTGGTCCTGCCCTCCGACCCAATGGGGTCCAGCCGTTCGGGGGATGGTGGCCGGCCTTTCGGGGGATGGTGGCCGGCTCTCGTCGCTCGGCAGACGTGCTCACTGGGCCCCGATCTCAGCTGGGGCCCAGCCGTTCGGGGGATGGTGGCCGGCCTTTCGGGGAATGGTGGCCGGCTCTCGTCACTCGGCAGGCGTGCTCACTGGGCCCCGATCTCAGCTGGGGCCCAGCTGTTCGGGGATGGTGGCCGGCCTTTCGGGGGATGGTGGCCGGCTCTCGTCGCTCGGCAGACGTGCTCACTGGGCCCCGATCTCAGCTGGGGCCCAGCCGTTCGGGGGATGGTGGCCGGCCTTTCGGGGAATGGTGGCCGGCTCTCGTCACTCGGCAGGCGTGCTCACTGGGCCCCGATCTCAGCTGGGGCCCAGCCGTTTGGGGGATGGTGGCCGGCTCTCGTCACTCGGCAGGCGTGCTCACTGGGCCCCGATCTCAGCTGGGACCCAGCCGTTCGGGGGATGGTGGCCGGCTCTCGTCACTCGGCAGGCGTGCTCACTGGGCCCCGATCTCAGCTGGGGCCCAGCCGTTCGGGGGATGGTGGCCGGCCTTTCGGGGGATGGGGGCCGGCTGTCGTCACTCGGCAGGCGTGCTCAATGGGCCCCGATCTTAGCTGGGGCCCAGCCGTTCGGGGGATCGTAGTTGGCCGTTCGGGGGATTGTGGCTGGCTCTCGTCGCCCGGCAGGCGTGTTCACAGGGCCCCGATCTCAGCTCAACGGCAGTGTAGGGCATCGAGCAGGACTCTGTCGGGGGGGGGGGGGGGGGAGGGAGGGCTATGTGACAGACAGCCTCATACAATATTTAATATTGCATCAAAATTCATACAAGTCATTTAACTCAAAACAAACATTCGCCAGATATATGCAAGGCACAAGGCACAGCGACAGTGACTGATTTCATTACATGATTTGCGACTGCATTGCAAAGTATATTGGACACCCTGTTATTGCTGGAAAGTTGCATGCATTTCCTCGGTCTTCTTGCCTTTACCGTGTGTTCACTGATCGACTCAGCCTTAGCAACGCATATACTCTATGGTAGCAATATCTATAATCCAAACTCTACGCGCGTCGCTTTGTTTCTGGTACGTTTCGACACCAATGTCCGTTATTTTAGCTCTAAGAGGTGGTAAAATACTGCGCTCTCGCACATCGCCCAACATTCACAAACTTGTTGCCACATCTGGCGCGAAGCACACGCACCATTTCATGCTCAGTGCTCCAACCTCGGGCCAAAACTGGACACCACCGGGCGATTCAATTGCGTTTCGTCGTTCAGTGCGTCCAAGAATGTGGAACTGGGCCGCGCCACCGCCGCGTGGCGGCCCGTGAAGTGGGTCGCTCTGCGGGGCACGCGAAACGTTCGAGCGGCGTGACGGCGCTCATCGACCGCGAGCTGTCATTGGCTGAGCACTGCCGACAGGGGTGGGGGGCGGCGGCCGGCCACGCGTCGGTAGTCGAGGTCGGCACAGGTCAGGTCAGACCGGGATGGTTTGTAAGGTCGAAGTCGATACTGGTCATGTCATATCATGTCAGGTCAAGTCAGGTCAGGTCTAGCAAGCATTTATGATCGGCTTGAGTCAGGTCGGGCCAAGTTACCTCCAGTTCGCCAGGGACAGTTGTAATGATGCCAGAGTTGGGGTAAATCTTGCGGATGATGTGTCTGGTCAGGGTCAGGGTCAGGGTCAGGGTCAGGTCAACTCGTTACCACCACCTGTGACAACGGCGACGTCAAGGTCCTGTCAGGTCATGGCCCTGTATGCCAGCTGCTAGTCAAGTTCAGTTCAGCTCCTCCCCAGTCCGCCTGGTTCGGACACAAAACCGGGTCAGTCCACGACCCCCCCCCCCCCCCGTTTGGAGGCACGTCAGGCGAAAAGCCCTCCGGACGTTCCGCCTCACCTAATGATCAGGCGGAGTGCCGTTGGCGCGCTGTCGGCGCGTCCGCCTTAATCGAAGCAATTACGTGTCCGCGAATATGGATCGCTGCGCCGCGCCGCGCCACACGTTACTCGCGTGGTGGCCGGCGCGGCGGGCTCACGTGTGCACGGTGCAGCGGTAGCTCGCGCCTTGTTTACCAGACAAATACGATTATCGATCTTTGAAACGTCCGGACGGCTCTGCGCGCCGCGCCGAACGCCGCTGCCTGCTGTGTAAACGGGGCGCGTGACGCTGTTGCTCGCGGTGCTTCGGACGGTGCGCTCCTGCCGACGGGCAGCTCTCGACACGCGAGCGCCGACCACGGCGAAGACGGCTGTCGGCGCGCCGATAACGCCCAGAGGAGCCGTCCTCGAGTGGCCGATAAGATAGGCGGCCGCAGGCGGCGGGCGCACGCGGCCGGCCCCACTCCCCGCGGCTTCACAACGCCGCAGGTGCAGCCCGACGAGCGCAGCTGAGACCCCCCGCGTGCCGGCCGCCCCGGGCCCAGTTGTGCGGCGACGATCGAGGGCGACTCACGTGCGCGTCCATCCAGCCGCCATGCTGCCCGGCGCGTCCCACTTCGGCGCCAGCTATCCTTACCCGTCGCCGTACTCCAGGGGCGGCGTGGCGCTGTGCCTGAGCCAGCAGGGCCGCCGCAACGGCGAGGCGCTCGTCCGCTTCGTCAGCCAAGAGCACAGGGACATGGCGCTGAAGCGACACAAGCACCACATCTCCAACCGCTACATCGAAATCTACAAGGCCACCGGCGAGGACTTCGTCAATGTCGCTGGAGGTGAGTCAGAGTCGTTTGAATCTGATGCGATTGTATTTAGAAATCAGAGCCGTCCAATCCTGGCAGGACCCTGTGGTTGTAAGTGTTTTTGCGTGTTTGAGTGCGTGCGTGCGCGTGCATGCGTGGTTCCCAGGGCCTAGCTAGGCTTGGTGCCGCCCGAGGCTGGTGGCATGGTCTTAGAGTATTCGCTATGTCCAAGTTAAGCCGCGGGGAGACGGCTCTCTACATTTTCATCTCTACATTCCGGCTCGAGTTACGCTGTAGGTACCGGCACGCTGGAGCATCACCACCCAAAATGATTCCAGGTACACTTCAAATTTGTGGTGGAAGAAATCGAAACTTTGTGCTGCACAAATCGTTACCTGTTCCGTTTGTGACATTGACCGTTAGACTGCAGCCATGACGAACTGCAGTTTTATGTACCTGAAATTCCAGTGAGGCGCGAATGGGGGCGGCTGAGAGGCGGTAAGAGATTAGTTTTTACCGCGAAGATGATCCCCAAAACTAGGCCGATTGATGCACGCACCTTGAGCAATCAATATTGGTTAATTCTATAAATACGTTAAACAGCCTGCGGTTTGTGAAGATTTTACTGACAGAGGCGCACTGGTGTAGGTACATTCGCCTTCATATTTTCGCCCAACTTAACTGGGCAAGACACAGCTATGAGTTCTGTCGGAAGTAGCCGACCTTCAGTATACCAGGAGGCATGGGTTTTAACGACTTTATTAACTACAGCGCGTGCTAGTCTGGATAAATCGACCTGCACCTTTGCCAGTATGAGTGACCGTGTTCTCTTTCGATACGATGAGTAAGTCTCGTGTCGCTGCGGCACCGAGTTGTTAAAGTCTGGATTTGGTTTCACTTTTTTTCCTTTTTCGCAACCTGAGTATGTCAACTTGGTCATGTTCATCAAATGGGCAGGTGAGCTCGGGGTGATGTTGGAAAGCTAGCTGGAAAGCTCAGCTTGAGCAGGCAAATCCTAATGAGAGGAACGGCACAAATATTTGACAGTTGCGCTTCTCGATGCTGAGAGCTGCGCGAACCGACGAACGGTGGTCGCAATACTGCGGGGTTTTGGGTGACATGGCTGACGGGTCGGGCCCGACCGCTAGTGTTTAAAATGGCTTCATGGCTCAAATAATGCTCATTCGCTCAGTGGTCTCGCTCGCTTCTATGGGGTACACACATTTTGAAAAGTTGTATTTGCAAGAAAAACCCGTTTTGGTACAGAACTGGTGTTTTTCGTCGCATTATGACATGAGCGCCACATAGTAAATCGAGCTGAGTGTCCTTGGAATTTGAAACGTAGTTGTTGCTCTATGGCCAATTCTTGTCTACTTAAACGCCGTGCATAGTGTCCATGCAACATTTTACTTTACCCCTCAGATTTTTCCAATTATCTTGCTGTTTCCATGCATCAAATGTATTTCGAGGAGTGCACATCACGCCTTTAGATTTATTAGTAGCAGACTCTCTGAATCTGTTACGTTTAGGAACGTTATACCGTGCCCTGTTGACTTCGATCTCAAACTCCAAAAAACATAATAAAGAAGCCCCAAAGTTCAGTATATTTAGCAGACATGGCCATTTTAGGTGAGTTTTTTAATTCATATTTAATGGTGAAACGTCACATATAATTTACAGCTGTATACAAATCCAGAACATGGCACGTTTATGGGGGCACCTCATGTAAAAATTCATTCACTATACCGACGCATTTTAACAGGTTGGACCATCTTAAACTCACAGACATTTCGCACGTTGCGAAAAACAGGAGACTCGATGACAGAGATGGAGCGAACAGAGGCAATACAATGACGACATAAATCAAGGTAACAGGACATACAAGGGTATTCAAAAGCATCTAAAGGAAAAGCTTTGGTGTGCTCCTCTGTGCCCATTTGCCTAGATCCATGTCATCCTTGTGTTGCCTCTGCGCTATTTCTGCCATCGAGGTTCCTGTTGTTTCGCAATGCACAAAATATATCCGAGGTTAAGGTGGTCCAGGCAGTTAACACGCGCCGGTAAAATAAACCAATTTTACATGAAGTGTCCCCATAAACGTCCCACGTCCCGGATTCTTATTCAGCTTTGAATTATATGTTATCTTTTGTCATGACCTTTATTTTAAAAGCCCCACTTAAACAGGGCACGACTGCCAAAATATAGTGAGCTTAAAACTAAAACTGAGCCTAAAACTATATGACAGGCAAACTAGCGGTGTGCCGGGCGCGCCTTTTTCAACCGCCAGGTCCTGTAGAGGAAGCGGCAGGTGCGAGACATGAACAGCTGTGGAACCCGCACTTCTCTTCCAATGGTCGGCAAAGCGGGCACAAAATCGATAGCGAACACCTGAGTATTAGAAACAGCGGGAGTTTGCATCTGCCTTCCGTCAAAGCCGGTGGCAGCACCGGGGATGTCGACACGCGCGACAGACGAACACGTCGCAACGCTCCCAGTCTGGCGTGACTGGCATCTAAAGAGTCGTCGCATACACGGCTTGTCATGTTGCGCCGTCGACGGCCACGTGTGGCTGGTTCGGGAAGAGCCGAGGCAGCATAATGCACAGAGCGCCTGATGTGCTGGCAGAACCGGGGCCGTGCACTTTTTGTGCACCGATCAATACCGAGCAGTAGTGGTGTCGGCCGAGGGACAGGGGTAAATGTCACCGTGCACGGGGGCGGCACTGAAGGGGAGGGGAGGGGGCCGCGGTACCCGTCACTGACCTGTCACAGTGTGGTACCGCAGGAGGTGGTGGGAGGGGGTACGGCTGGTGGTTGGGTGAACTCGACGACCCCCCTTGCTGGTTTTTGTTTGGCAAACACGCTCTTCTTCGGTTTGGATGCTTAAAACACAGAGTGCTGCTTGCAGCTGAATGAGAAATTTTGCCAATCGATAGGATGTTACGGACTTACGCGACAACAGAAAACAAACAACAGACGTAAACAGGCGAGGATGTCAACTGATAAGAGCTGACCTGGCGTGTCCACCAGTTCCAGACGCTTCTTTGACTTTGAACCGAAACCTTGTCTCCTAGTGCCAGCAGCCTCTTATCTCGGGATGCATTTTGTTTCGCGCTTCTGACGCGCGAACGACCGGCCGTTTTCCGGCGAAACTCTCGACAGCGCCGTAACGTCATGCACGGCGCTGTGCGAGCGGCCGGAACTGGCCAGCGCTGCGGTCTGGTCGGCTGCCCCAACCGCCGCCTCTCGTTCCAGCAGGTCGCCCCAAGGTGTGCACGACCGTGGCAGCCGGCGGCCGCCGGTGCGCCCGGCCCGGCTGCCGACGCAGCGGCGGCGGCCGTGGGGAGGTCGGGCGCGGCAGGGAGCGCGCTTCACAGCGGTCACGTCGTCCTGATAGGTCAGGCCCGGCGGCCGCCGCCGCGGCCGGTCCCCCGGCTCCCTGCGGTCCTCTGCCCTAGCCCGCGTGCCGCGCGCTCTCTGCCCCAGCCTGAGCGGGCCGGCCAGCCCCCCCCCCCCCCCGTCCTCTGCCCCAGCCTGGGCGGGCCGGCCACGTGGAGCGAGGGGTGCCGAGTGGCGGAGACAGCCGCGCCGCTGCGCGTGACCACGCGCAGGCCGGCCAGCCCCTCCCGTCCTCTCGCCCGGCCCGCACCGCCCTCCCGCCGTATAAAAACACGCCGCACGGCCATCTGCCGGCCGCCCCGTCCGGGCCTGCCACGCCAGGACCACAGTGAAGCGCCGGCGGGCGTCTGGTCAGACCAGCGGCCTCAGGCTACTGGGGGCGGCCGGGCGATGCATGCCGGGTCGGCTACAGCTGCTGGAGAGATCAGCCGTCCGGTGCCGGGCTCCGGGAGCTCTCCGTTCGCGGCTGGGGCCGGTCAGCTCGGTTTGCCCGTGATTCGGTTTACTGTGGTGTCCTCAGTCTAGGTCGCTTAGAGATATATCTCAGGCAACCGCCCTATCGACATTAGACAGTCATTTACGCACATTTCTCACGTTCATTCCATGCGCCTGGGCCAGTTTTATACAAAGTTTGTTTATCTTCTGAGCACATGTGCGACACCATTCCGCGCGTTCTGTCTGTAGCGCTGCTTTACGTGCCGGGGAAGCACCACATGCGGTGCGCTGATGCAGCCGGTGGTTCCCGGGATATCCACTCTGTCCATGCTCGCTGATGTCGCCGGTGGTCCCGCGGTATCCACCCTGTCCATGCTCTCCGCCCGACTGACACACTGACCGTCTGTGACTTTAAACTGCGTCCCAAATCGATCTTGCAACATGTTTGTAACACGGGATTGAAAAAACACACTAGAATCCTATGACAGCCTCCAGATATCTCCAGTAATAGCCGTGCACATACAGCAGGAGGCCGCTCAGTCATCCGACAGCCTCGTCTCCAGTACGCCACATCAGCACCGTCCGTCAACCCAGCAGTTCCCCATGACACCCCTCCCAGTCTGGTACGCTGAATCTTGTTCCGGAAGAGCCTCTTCGCGCCCCCTGCCGCTCTGACTGGCGCCCCTTGGCGGCGTCACAAGCCGGCGGGCCCGACCTTTGACCCTGACCCTGACCGCTGGCCCCTGACGGCCTGGGCCGCGTGCGCGCGCGCTCCGTCAGCGTCCCGTCGCGGCCCCTGTCTCTGTCTCTCGGCGGCCGCCGCAGGCCCGGGCCAGTCGGGGCCCATGAGTGACATGGACCAGGGCCGGTCTCTCCAGCCGGCGCCTACACCGGCCCCCCACTCTCTGTGCAAATATGTAAATGTTTATTCCACGCGAGCGTACAGAAGGGGCGCGCGCAGTACATCGGAGCGCGGTGACTGCTATAAGCTGGGCTCGTCGTGTCAAGCGCCATATGTTGCCAGTGTTGCCAAGCTGGAGGGGGGGGGGGGGGCGGCTGTTGGTGATCAGAACTGATCCCCAGATGTTTCAGCCTTATACGTGACGTCTGCACATTGGACCTGCTTTGTTGGATGCCGGGAAGAGCGGCGTTTATTAGGTCACAGTCAGCAATAAGGTCACAGCAGGCACCTTGTAGATCGCTATTCATTAGGTAGCCTCCACAGCCAGCACTAAGATCGCGTTATTTCACATCAATCTGTTTGTCCTTTTTGTCAATGTGCCGCGTTGCAGCTTCATAGTTGAACAAGACGATTTAGGAGATCAGACATTGTCAATCATTGGAACTGATCCGCTCACCTTATCCTGAGGAGATTCCTGCGCTTCTGGAAACATTCCCATCGACATTGGCGAAGAGGGCGACTCGCAACTGTCGCATGGCCCTCCACACAGACATGAACCCAGCTTTTACAGCGATCTTCTGGGCCCGGCTGCAGTACAAGGACGCGGCCCTCAAGCCGGTGTCTTCAGCGTCATTCACCTTGACTGCGATTAACGAGAATCCGATGCCCACAGGCGTGAACACCGAAGCCCAGGAATTCCTCAAGCTGGGAGGACAGGTGATCGTCAGAATGCGGGGACTGCCATACGACTGCACTGCTAAGCAAGTGGTGAGTCTTACAGCATTCCAAAAGGCTGTAAACATATTCTGATAACGACGCTGCGTTTTAGCCTGGGCTCGGGGTGGGGTTTTGCGGCAATTTTTTTTGGGGGGAGTCGGGCTGAACCACGAAAAGTTATTAATCCGCCCCAAAAATTTGCCAACAAACAGGTTTCTCCCCGCATTTGGCCCGTTTTAAACTTAAAGTTGTGAGAGATGAACCCCAAGTTTGGGAGAAGGGCTGAAGCCCCCCAACTTAATCAGAAACTACACCCCTGCCTTGGTTGGTCGAGGTGCTTCAGAAGTTCGCCGCGTGTTTTACTGGGTCACTTTTAATTCATTGGGTGCATAAGGCTGGTATATTAGGTCAATTGTTGACCCCATTATTCCTGGTTAAAGGTCAAATTTTCCGGAAAATCGCACTTATTCATCTTTACATCATACCCACGAGGCCAAGCCCTGTGAAGACACAAGCCTGCTCGGCGTTTGTTTTTCTCGCTTTTGAATACAATGGCATATAGCTGTATGTGTTTTTATGATTGTTTATGATGTACGGCGCCGTAAGTACAAAGGCATCGTCCGGTCTCACGCGTTCCGCGGTGTGGTCGGTTGCCGCCGCCGGCCGCGCCAAGCCGCAGATCGTCGTGCAGCGCTCCTAAAAAAAAACGCCGTCGCCCCAATAACAGAGAAGTTGGAACAAATTTTCGACATCAAAACAGGTGCGATGGATGCACCATGGAAGACTGGAAATTATGGGCGCCATTGCACTGCATGCCGGAGAGGTATGATCAATAAAGCGTCGGGGTCGCATCGCCCCCACCCCCTCCCCGATCGGGGCGAGGGGTAAGCAGCGTATTTTGAAACATAGCTACTTTGCAGTGACTTGTCTTCTGGCGTTACATGATGATGCATTTGAAGCGCCCAAAAATAGAAATATCCAACAAATCTATTGGAAAATTCGAAATTTTATGCTTGAGTAGATGATCTCATGATTGTTGGCATGTCCCTCTCGCATTCAAACGTCCGATCGTGTGGATTCTTTGCTGAATATGACTTTTGATGAACTTTTGTTTTGAGTTGCTGTGCCTGATCATACTACCGGATGACCAATTGCACAAGTACAGCCATGTCGCGTTTTTTTTAAGGTCCTTCCAGGTTAGATGCGTCAAATGAAGGTACCATTGTGGAGACAGTTTTGGGCTTTAACAAGTGGTGTACTCACGTTTAAACCAGGCTAATCGACGCATAAATCTGATTGGCAAGCGCTGGTCAGCGTCTCTTATGTCGTTGTGGCGTCCATGCGCAGTGCGAAGCGTGGCAATGTGTGGTCATGCACACAACACATGACCCGTTTGGTTCGATTCCACACGTCACAGGCGACACCTCCTGATAAGCACGATCGGCGCATGATTCAGTGTACTGCCGCTTTCCTCATTGTCATGGCACACCCAGCTCTGACGATAGGGCTGTATCTTGAAAGCTATCTACAAACCCAGCTTACCTGTTTGAAACCCATCGAAAGTCACTTGCACATCACTTGCGTCGGATTAGTTCGATGACTCTAATCTGGTGTAATTTTACGTGAGCCGCTTTGCGACTTTTCCGGTTTAGTGCTAGCGCGTTAATTATCGGAGATCGCAGGGGTCCAGCGAGAGCCCCTGGTCTGGCGCCGGTGGGATCAAAGTCCGTCCAGTGGTGCCTGATCCGTCCCGCTAACGTAGTCTGCGCCTTTCGAAGCCATGCCATTGACCCGACCGCCACTGGCCGGAGTTTGATAGCGTACTGTGACATGAAGGCGAGATAAGCGGCTTAATGCGGGATCATCCATTTTAAGCCGACGCCGCAGGCTTGCATGTCTGGCGCCCGGGCTTGTTGACCTTTGCCAAGCCTGCGCAGCGTCCGGCCTGTCGTGTTGAAGCGGCGCTGAGCGGCGTCTGGTGCTGCGTCTGCGTGTGGGATGCACAGCGCTGGCTGCCCAGCTCGCCAGCGCTGGTTCGCCATCATGTTCATCCCGATGGACTAGGCTCAGCCGAATACGGTTACTTCTCTCGAAACAAAAAGCGTCGTGTGGCTCTAATTGTCCTCTGAAGCGTCCATCGTCGTCCACGTTATATCGCTAACATTTCCTGGTGTTAGAGCATAGGTTTCCTATCTGTCCTCCAATGGCCGCACACAGTCACACGGGTATATAGAGTGTTCAGAGCGTTAGTCGCCGACGGCGCCCGACACCGTCGTCGACAGACTGTTGACCTAGAGCTACACTGTGGAATCTGAGGTTGAGCGTCGTACATCACCGAGCCGCAGTGCCGCGACGGCCCAGTATCTGGCCCATCTGTTTATGGGTGCGTCTCGTCGAATAGTTTTCCTCGTGCCCCGTGTTTACTCGAGACCGTCGGTGGTAACTGGCCGATTGGCTAGTAGCTGGCGCCGGAGGGCGACGTGGCGCCCAGGCTGTTTAGAGCCGCTCTAGCGAGAGTCAAAGGGGTTGTTCGCGCCAGAGCAGACGCCTGTTGCACGAGCGCCCTGGTTTCTGAAAAAAATATGCGGCCTAACGGTTGCTGATTGAATATTTTCAATTCCTTCATGAATCCTGCAATCTTCACTACTTGTTCATGCTGATGCAGCGACTGAACGACGGAGTGCGTTTGCAAGAGCGAACTCCTCTTAACGAAGGCGAAATTGCCAACAAATCTGTGATGGCGAGGCGTTTCCCAGCTGCGCATGAAGTCCTATGTCGGTATGCATTCTTCCAACACATTTGTAATTTTTAACCTTAATGTCTAGTGAGGCTGAACTTCGGTGTATCCTCATCTCAAAGTCTATACGTACAGTCTGCTGCTCTTTTGAGCGGGAAGTGTCCTCAGCTCGACTCCGAGGCCGATAAGATAACCCACGCACTGTCCGGAGGTGCTCGGTACACTTTTGAAAGCGTTATCGGCTTGACAAAGACGAAAAACACTCGAGCAGAAGGGCGACTATCAGCGGACTCTGTATCCAAACCCGATTGCAGGCCTCGGGGGCGTACTGCACCCCCAGTCCTTGGACGACTGCTATAGATCTGTGCAGCTGGTCGTCAGCTGTCTGGTGCTGCAGTGCGGTGTGCGTCCTTTCGGGATTCGGTCCGCTCTGAGACAACCACGCCGTTTGCCACGAAATTGGTGCTTTGTGTGGTCACTGTCGTGTTCAGCTGTCCCAAGTCTTCAGCGTTGATAGGACAGGTATTGGTGCGTTGCAGGGCACTTTGATGTTTGATCCAGCCAAGGTCATGGCAACATTTGGGGCTCGCTTGCTGGACTGATTCTGTCTCCCAGAGTGCATAGCAACCTACGCTCACCTGCCAGAAACCAGTCCGCCAGTTATGCACCTGTTGAACACTGCCCCACCGCTTATGTCATATGATACCCCCTGCCTCACATTGTCATCGCACACCACTGCTTCACAGTGGTGAGCGATGGCGACCCTCACTTCGGCTCCGGCATCCCACAAACGAAAACATCACCGCAAAACCAATCCCTGTGCCGCAGCTGGAGTTCTTCGAGGCCGGCGAGACCAGCTGCCAGGTGATGTACAGCGAGAAGGGTGTGCTCTTCGTCAAGAAGCCCGACGGCAGGGCGACCGGCGACGCCTTCGTCCAGTTCGAGAACGAGGACGACGCACCCAAGGCGCTCAGCAAGCACCGCGAGATCATCGGCTCCCGCTACATTGAGCTGTTCCGCAGCACCGTAGCCGAGGTGCAGCAAGTAAGTGACTCGTGAGGGCTTCCGCGGTCTGGGTGGGAAAGCAGGGTGATGGCTCGTAAGGTCTTCCGCGGCCTGAGTGGGAAAGCAGGGTGGTGGTTCGTGAGGGCTTCCGCTGCCTGGGTGGGACAGCAAGGTAGTGGCTCGTGAGGGCGTCTCCGGTCTGGATGGCACAGTGCGGTAGTGGCTCGTGAGGGTGTCTCCGGTCTGGATGGCACAGTGCGGTAGTGGCTCGTGGGGGCGTCTCCGGTCTGGATGGCACAGTGCGGTAGTGGCTCGGAGGGGCTCCAATGCTGCACCTTGGGCAGGTGAGCGCTCCTCAGCTGCCCACGCCTTTGAGCTCTACCGTCAGGCTATTATGAAGTTTCTCTTAGGGTTTCAGCATTGGATCTTGTCTTGTATGGATGACGGCATCAACAGGACGTTGCTTTCCCATCTAGCTGAATGCTTTCGTAGATGGCTGTTGGGCCCTTGTAGCTCCGAACGAGTTTGGCTCGGCTCATGCCAGAACCTGATGGTGGCACCATACCACTCACCAGCAGAGGAGGAACGCTGCGAGTGCAGTGTCCCAGTACGCACCATGTTGAAGTCACACTATGCCACAGGAACAATGCGTGGTCTAGGTCAACCAACTGTGGAATTTAGTTCAAGCAAGTCGACTGAATTGGATGAGAGTGAACTCATCTAGCCTTGGAAAATTGGCGACGACGGCATCGTTTGTTTATTTGTTTTGTATTTGTTCTTTGTCAACAGCTGACACGTGGCTTATTAGCACCGTTATATTAATGAAGCATGCGAAATGAAACGCGATTTCCGGCTAAAGACGCTCAGGTAATGGTGCAATTGTCACGTTGACTCAGAAACGAAACAGTGATTTGCAATTAGGTGCATGGGCTGATTGTCACCACTCTTAAGGCCATCCTAGATTGCTAAGTGGCTCTAGAATTGCAAACGACATTTCATATAGGAATATTCAACGAAAGTTGACGTTCGCTGCCCGAGTTATCACCGGTACTCAAAAGTGCGAACTTGCAATGAGGCAGCAACATAGTTTGAAGGCTGCACATCCAGCGTGCACTGGCATTACTGCAGCGCACATTTGCGGCTCGCACCCAGGCGTCGCGGCGTTAAGTGGATGGTTATGTGCGAGGCGCGCTCTAGCTCCCTGACTGCAAGCTGGAATGTACGAGTACAGCGTCCCCTTACACGGCAAACGGCGTGAAGGACGCTCTTCCACTGGCACTCTGCGCATTGTCCGGGGTCTCAGTTACAGTTATGGAACAGGTTTCAGTTTCAGTCGCAGTTGTAGAACAGGCACATGGAGAGTAATATGTTTTATATTTGATCTATGAGAATTTGTCCTTACAGTGTTAAGGTAACCAGTGGCTACCTACCTATTTGCAATGTGCATGGCATGGCCTGATCGATTCCAAAATGTACTGAAGACAGATTTTTTTTTGGCTTACTGCATGTCGCAATTCACGGGTATGTCTAAACCCCGAACTGTTACAACATTCACTGATAGTGGCTGTATGGTGAGAACTAATAACTAAATATTTCAGCATGGCGTGCGGTTTACCAACCCATTCGCTCATACACAGAGATACCAAACACAGTATTTTTGAAGTGATCATTTGCCTTCATTTTTGGCTGTGCAAGCGTCCCGCTGCCCCCATATTTTCCCCATTTGGAATGGCGTTTGCCTTTGACCATCATATCCCTGCAGCCCGAGAGAGGAAGTAGGGGACGCCGCGATCTGCGCCGCGCTGATCTCGCTCCCATACAACATGGAATGGGCGCGAGGAATACAGGCAATATTCAGACTTGATTGACGCTGTCACCAACTACAGCATTGTCTATTGACGCTGTCACCAACTACAGCATTGCCTCGCGTCGCACACGGCCTCTTTATGGTTGTGTGGCGTCCTCACCCGGCTTCCCCGGCCAGGGGAATAATAAACGGTCGCGTTGACCGCGGCGAGAGCCTCCTAGCGCGGCTCAATTAGGCACCGGTGGGGACCGCAGGGGAGGGGGGGGGGAGGGGGCCGCGGACACACCTGCGGCGGGCTGCGGTCCGCGCGGGCGCCGCGCCACAAGTGTCGGCTGTCGCGCCGCCCGATAGATTCCCCCGCCGGCCGTCGCGGCACAAAAGATCCGTGCCACGGCCCGATAAGTTGACGCGGCGGCGGTCTGGCCGGCATTGTGAGCGCGGCACCTGCGTCGGCGCCGGACAAGTGTGCGGCGGCGGCGTGTCTCGAGGCCGCGCTGCCGCCGCCGCCGGCACCGCTGCATGCGGCCGACTCGCGGGAGAGCAGTGGAGCCATGCACTGCGCCGTGCAGGTAAAGACCGCCGCGCCGGCCGTCGGCGCCGCTACGCCCTGTTTGTGTGCTTGTTTGCCCGTGCTGGGGTAGGTGCAGCGCTAGACGGCGGCGGGTGTGCTGATGCGCCCGATCCGGCCGGCGGCGAGCTGTTGTATGGCTTGTCGAGCGGCAACAGGGCCGCCCAAACAATGGAGAGCGTTGCCTGGCATCGACCGTCTTACAACGCGGGCTGCGAGTCCTAGAGCGTCGTTCGCCATCGACCTTGCCTTGGCCGTTCGTCGAAGCTTAGTGCGCGGTCGAGCGCGGCTTAGTGGGGCCTCGATGGACTCGAAAGGCCTCTATTTGGGGCCTCGAAAACCTCGATGGAGTTGTAGAGTGGGATGAGTTTGTTATCGTTTGCGTCATGGAGCGGAGTGAGGACGATTTTTAGTCAAAGCGTACCTGAACTTATTGCTGACTTACATGTCATCCAAGACCACCGTGTCTCCATTGCCGCGCTCGTCTCGCAGATCGGTGGTGTTAAAAGCATTACCTGTTACTCGGAACAAAGTCGCCAGTAGCTTACTGCGAATTAATTAAGTGATATCAATCGCTCGTAACTTTGGAATGTACAATTTTAAAGCTTTTCAACCCTTCAGAGAGTTTCGTCAACATAGGTTACGACATTCAATTGTGTTAAAGGAGGCGAAAACATGTTTGGGTCGTACCAGAGCGAGCTCAAGATCAGGGGAAAGATCAGTCGATCTGTGTCCAGCGTGAACAGGGCGCGGCTGCCCTGCATCAACCGATGTTTACCTCTGCAGCCCGCACGCCCGGACCAGACGTGGGGCAGCTTTTTCGCGCGCCATTACTGAAGAACACAGAGGTGGGTCAAACGAGGGCGGCACAGGGGTGCAGGGACGTATGGATATGGGTAAGGTTCTGCATCTCATTGGAGGGGGTGGACCGTCGTCCCACTGGGTGCCTCGTTCCCCCCAGCATATAATCACAATCTCCAAAAACATGCACGACAGCACACACGCAGCAGAAACGCAGTCAAGTCTCTACGCAGTTAACTGAAGGGGAACTAACTGAAGTTTTATACGGGGAAATCTGATCTTCACCCTCCCCAATCCCACTGGTTTGTGTCAGGTTCCAATGGTGTGCGGAGCTGCAAACGGGCAGGACTCTCCGAAGATCCTTTTTAGAACATTGCATTGGTGGAAGTGACGGGCATCACACTGCCAGCCAGTTAATAGTGCGAAGTTATTCTAACGCTAGCTAATTTTTCAGCAATGCTGGATAAGTCTGGAACGCTGCAAGCCAATCACACCTAGCCACATACGCTGGACTCTAACCCCGGCCTCGTTGGACCTCTTTTCGACGTAAACGGGACTCATGATCTCATGGTACATGATGAAACGTGTGGTTGATGTCATAGAAATTCGTCAATGTGACGGAACGCTTTGACAAGTGAGTCTGGAACGGTGCCGGCCTAAAGTCTGACTATGAAACGAAAAATGGCGGCGCCGTCAGATGTGGTGCGCTGAGGCGGGCGCCTGTGATTTCCAAACAAGGACGGAGGAGCAACTCTTCCGATACCCAACACATGCATCCACGAACGTCCGACACGTCCGTAGTTGAGTCGAAAGAGCAGGGAACCAGGGGCCTCCTCTCCTGGCCTTTCCAGGAGGAAGTCTGTCAATGGGTTCTGTGCTCAGCCTCGCGGTTGCTTCAGGCCTCGCGGTTGCTTCAGGCTGCTCCCTCACCAGCGCGCATTAACCCGTCTTGATGCAGAGGCCACCTCTCGACGGGCGGGTGCCAGCCCTCGGGACCGCGGCGGTGCGGCGGCCGGGCCCGCGCCGGGGCCCGACGCGGCGCCGCAGCGGAGACGTGGCGCGCCAGCTGAGCCGCCAGCTGACGCGCCGTCAGCTGAGCGTCACATGACGGCCGCCGGCGGAGCGGCGCGCCGCGGGCGCCGCGCGCCCGTCTGTTTATCCGATATTAATCAGAACTATTGGCCGAGCAAAAAATCATAAACAGAGTGGCCGGCGCGCGGGCCTGGCGTCGCCGGCCACTCTGCCGAGGGACGTGGCGGCGGCGACGGCTCGGCGACCCGGGCCCGGCCGGCGGCGACACACGATCCGGACCTGCTCCATTGTGCTGCCGACGCTGGGTACGCGGTGTGCTGCGGTCCGCCGTCGGCTGGCTCGGGTCGGCCGCTCTCGCTGGAGACCCGCGGCGGCTCCCCTCGCACCGCGAGCCGTCCAGAGCGGCGCGGACGACATGAAGTTTGATCCGGCGCCCCTGCTGCAGGTACGGGGACTTTTCACGCAGCGTTTCGCGCCGTCTCGCGGGTTTGCATATGTAGGCTGCGTAACCCGTCTAAGTCAAATGAATCTGAGAGGTTTGCGTACGCTGCTGTCTCAAGTAAAGAATACTGACAAAAGTTGGTTATTGGTTGTTTCATATTTCTAGAAAAAGATAATTTCTCATTGTGTCGATTTCATGGAAAGATGGTAGTTTCTGTCATACCTGCCATGCTGCGTCCTTCGCCATGCACCTTGTCAATGAGGCTGCATATGTTTTTGGCTGGAAAATTAGCCCCCTGCATGCATCTGATTCAGTCCAGCGCGGTCTGGCCGGCGGTGCCGTTCCGCCACGAGCCCGGCTGTGATTCAGAGTCGCTCGTCCCCGGCCGACGTCCGGCCAAAGGTCAGGTGGTCTGATCGGTGCCCTGCACCGGCTGCACTCGCAGGACAAAGCGAGCCCAGCCTCCGGGCAGCATCTGCCTCCGCAAAACAGGCTGCAGCTTGTTAGATTCGTTGGTTGGCTTTGAATTATACACGGCACGTAACGGTGTTCTGGTTGTGAGTGCCGCAAATGAAGGCAGTCTGGTTTATCGGACAGTTAAATGGTGATACGTACATAGCTGGTATGGTTTAACCATACTGGGTATGTAAAATAAAAAAATGAGCCTGGCTGGAACACGTGCTGTCGTGAATCTATGTCTAGATTCACGACAGCACCTTGCTAAATGTTTTCTATACCAGGGTGCTGGCCTGCTTGGTCGGCCAATGACGGGGCGCTCTTTGCCGGCTCCTCGCCCAGACCCATTCCGTCATCGCATCTGGCGGGTGTGGAGCGTAAGCAAAGCAGCAGGGCTGGGTCAGAGCGGAGGCGGCGTTCGCGCCCGGTAGACGGATGATGACGGTCGCAGCCCGAGTGCAGGCTCGACGTCAGCCCGGCGGCGCGGAGGGACCGCCCACCGCACAGGGATCAGGCGCCTGGCGCCAGACGGCAGCACTCGCGCGGACACTGGGGCTTTACGTTGCATTCAGCTGCTGGGACGTTATGGTGTCACCTGTCTCTCAACCCTGGCAGGGAGAGCGTGCACCACGGGTAATCAAACCCCGTACCTCTGGTTTTCTAGATGCGCAGTGGTTAACGCAGACGCGTTAATCTCCGCTCTGTCGGCACGTGTACGATGGTAGCTTGACACTGGGTGGTGTTTTTTTAGATTTGATCGGTTTATTTGACGACGTGTTTGTCAGAGTCTCATGATGCAATAACGCTGGCAAAACTGCGGCTGAGAGGATTCACCCGCCTGCAGTTCCATCCTGCAAAACATTCCTTCGTAGAAAAATAATGAACGTGGGTGGGCCCACAAAACTGAAATCCCACAGAACTCTCCATCAGACACTGCTCTGCTTCTTCCACCGAACCAGCAGACACAAGCCCGGCAATAATGGGTCAGGGATGCCCCGCACCACCCTATCCCCGCAGACTCGGCGGTACCCTGTCGTCACCTGTCCTGGGTCGGGGCGGGGTGCCTCCAGTCGGCCGCCGCGGCCGAGCCGGATTGCGGCGTGCCTCGGCTCGGGTTCAGGCCGTCTCTCTCGTAAACGCCGCCGGGCCACTGGGCCGGAGCCGGCCCCAGCCCCCGGCGCGGACTACTGACCGCGGCCGGCGGCGCCGGCTGCCGGCATGGGTGCGGGCGCGGGCGCGGGCGCGGGCACGGTTCGATCGGAGGGAAGCGTCGGGGAGCGTGGCAACACACCCCGCTTGGCCATTAAATCCTCTGTCCATTGCTTTGCTTAGGAACATCTTAGCACGACTTTGGCAGGCTTTACCACAGACAGACAGATTGACTCAGAATGTCCTCTAAAGCTATCAACTGGTCCGATACCCTCTGTAAGAAAATGCCTATCTTCGGAAATTAGACCCATGGCAGAACTGACCAGATGTATTGTCCGGCTCTCATTGTTAACAAATAGTGTCATGAACATTGTTAACAAATAGTGTCATGAACATTCATCTTCAACTAGAAAAAATGTCGTGGTAAGTTCTGAATATGCGTGTATGATCATTTCGACTTTTTCACGATTTGTGGGGCTTCGTTCTGGTGCGGCGTCATTTATGCTGCATTTAGTTAGCTTCCAATTTACTAGCCTGTCACGTTTGATTGTGTACTGCACGTTGAAAATTTGATAGAAGCAGCCTATTACGCCGTCGCCTTCAGACGTGCGGTATCGGTACGGTGTTGTGCAGGCCCATAGGACTGCGGGGGCTTCCTTACACAGCAATGGCTTCAACGAGCCTCTCACATTCGTCATGCTGTACGTTGTAGGGCCACCCAAACCGGATCGCCGTAATGGCCCGCGCGGGTACACGCGCATACGACTTCATGCCGCGTGACAGCGAGACATTGTCGCGGCTAGGTGACGCGTAGCATGGCGTGTTGAATGGCGGCGCCAGCGGCCGGGCTTAATGGAGCGTGATGAGGCGACCTTTTAGTGGCTCCTGACAGTCGAGCGGAACAGTTTTTCGGTTACTTCATGACCTCGCTCAGGTGGCAAATGCATGCAAGCGCGACCAACAAATGGTGTAACAGGCGCGAGTGAGAGACATTCGGAATGTTTCCTACCACAATTGCAATCGCGCGTTGAAAGTCACTCCCAGTGCAAAAGGCACCGTCACGCTGTGCTTCAGTGACCTCGGTTTTGCGCTATTCTCGCGTGATGATGCTCATGGCCGTCACGGCACCGCGTCCGAAACAGTCGAATTAATTAGACCATACGAGTCACGGCCAGTTACACTGTGGGGCGAGGGCGCAGTGCGTTGTACGTTGTACCAGCGCCAAACCACAGGTCGCGCCGGCTGTGCGGCGCGAGACGTGACCGGCTCTACGCCTCCATTTGCCGGAGTTTGATGGGATGTCTGCCTCCGCACTCGTGTCGCGCCCGGCACCTTTCAGACCAGCTCCTCGGCTAGTGCTGCCGTTCGCCCTTCTTATCTCCAACGTCGCGATGTCCGAGCCGAGCCCTGCACGTCACAGCTCGTGCCTTTGGTGTCATCTGACTGCCCTCCTCTCTGTGAGCCACGGCTGGCGGACATGCCAGCGTAACAGCTGGAAGCTCTCATGATCCACCGCCGCACTCTCCGTTGACCTTCCATGCCTGGGATGTCCCCATCCCGTGGTGGACGGCCACCTCCACCGCACCAGTGCTGGATCGCGTGACGGATCTTCCGCGGCCGCGCGGCCACCAGCCCTGCTGACGCCCCACCCCCGCCCTCCACAGGTGCTGAACCGCTCGATGGACCCGCGCACGTACGAGCAGCAGCCGCCGCTGATCGCGCAGGTGCCCCAGCCATTCCCGGTGCTGCCGCAGCAGATCATCACGTCCGGCTCGCGCAAGGACTGCATCCGGCTGCGCGGCCTGCCGTTCGAGGCGCAGGTGGAGCACATCCTGCAGTTCCTCGGTGACCTGGCCAACCTGATCAAGGTCCAAGGCGTGCATATGGTCATCAACGCCCAGGTGAGTGGGCGCTGGCGCGCGCCGGTGGGTGCCGGGCCGCGGAGCTGGGAGGTGGAGCTGGGTCGTGGAGCCGGGACGTGGGGCGTTAACGTGGACCGGAGATGTGGAGCTATGACGTGAAGCTGGGACGTGCTGGGATGTGGAGGAGCTGGGGCGCGGAGCTGGGAGCCGAGGGCCTCTGCCGTCGCCGCCGACCGGCACTGACGCAGTGCCTGGGCTCTGTCTGCAGGGCCAGCCCTCTGGGGAGGCGTTCATACAGATGGTGTCCGAGGACGCTGCGTTCGTCGCCTCAAAAGAGCGCCACCACCGATACATGCCGTTTGGCAAGAAGCAGCGCTACATCGAAGTGTTTCAATGTTCGGGAGATGACATGAACCTGGTGCTGAGTGGGTCTGTCTCGCCCACCCAGCAGGGACTGGTCGTGTCTCCTGGTATGTTGGCTCCGGCTGCCTGGGACCCCTCTCAGCAGGCGGCCGCCGCCGCCGCCGCCGCCGCGCTCCGCCGCAAGCCCGCCCCGTCCGCGCCCTCGCTCCTCTCGCCGCCCAGTCCGATCAAGACGCTGCCGCCGCCCCCGGCCGCTGGCCTGCCCCCGCAGGCCGTCACCTCTCTGCCCTCCCAGATGATGCACCCGCTGCACGCTATGCCGCTCGGGTACATGGCCGCGCTGCAGCAGCAGCAGCAGCAGCAGCAACAGCAGCAGCAGTTGCTGTTCCTGCAGCGTCAGGGCATGGCCACGCCGCCACTGTTCCACTTCCCCTCGGCGTCTGGCCTGCCGACCGTTGTCGACATGCAGGGCGTGCCCAAGTCTGTGGCGGCGCCGACGTTGCCGGTGCAGGCGGGCCTGATGCAGTTCCCATATGGCGTGAAGCGCTCCTGGGACCAGGCGTTCCCCGTAACCGGCTCCGACCCGGCGGCGGCCAAGCGCGCCTGGACCTCCGGCTCGCTGCCGCTCATGAGCATGGCCGGCTCGGCCGCCGCCCCCGCCACCGTCCTGCCCGCCTCCGCCTACCACGCGTCCCAGCTGTATCCGGCCCTGTAGACGGCGCGCGGCGCGGCGGGTGCATGAGCCGCGGCCCCGGGCGGCCGGCCGGCCGGCGGCGGGCGGCCCGGCCGACTAACGACATCCCTGGGCGCATGCGTGTGTGTGTGGTGTACATAATGTTCTCCATAGTCTCTGGACGTGCTCGGGTCGAGGTCGCGTGACACGGGTGCCCCGTTTGACCCACGGCGGACGCAGGGCTTGTCGATGTCGGACGGCGCCGCGCGAGCGGCGGTCACTCTCATCTCCTTCCGCTATTAACCCGAGGTCGTCTGGGGTTGGTGCTGTCGGTCTCGGGACTGCCCGGTGACCGGGGTGTGATGGCCGCTAACCAGCGCGGCGCCGGGCTGCAGCGGACGTTTTGTTGGCGTGTATGCTTCACGGTAGCTTGTTGTAGCGCCTGTAGTGGTCCGGGACACCTCCACCACCGGTGCTGCGCTGCTCTCCCGCACGGCCCTCCCGTCTTCCCGTCCCGAATCTCGTTGAGACGCCAACAGTTGAGACATTCCGATATTTTAGCCTGAGTTGATGTAAATAATGTGCAGGCTCTGGCGTGATGCAAGTCTAGACGAGGTTCTCCTTGTTACCCAAGTGCCTGATGGTCGTGCCGACCCGTGTCCTTTCACGCTACACCACGGTGGAGCTGTCACGGCCCCGTCGACCTATACTATGTATGATGCAGACGCACTAAAATAAACACACATACTGTTCACAGTGGTTGGTCTCTCCCGGCTGGGCTGCTGCGTTGAGTTTTACTTGCATACCTCTCTGTCATCCTAGCGGGCAAACTTAACAGTTGTGGCCTATCTGGTGTGCGTGTCGGTTGGACGGGTTCAGTTTAAACATGGCCATTGTTCACGCGCGGGAGCTGAAACCAAATGCAGGTATGTTGGGCTTATGTCCTGGTTCTACGGGGCATTCACAGGTGGCAGCACTCTCTAGCGCTCTCGCTCTTCTCTCTTCCCCTCATACGGTGTTGGCTGGTGTCGGTCTGTTTCGGCCATGGTTCTGGGCACTCGCATGCACCGGTCAAACATGGCTGACGACTCTCCTGAAAAGTCATCTGAACTACCTCGAAATTCGATTTTATCATGACAAAATTATGTCTGAGCTTTGTGCTCTGTGGATATTCGACGCTTCTTGTGCCCCAGTTTCTGACAGTTCTCTTCGACCATCGTGAATAAAACCATTGGATTTGTAGAGAACACCTGACGCAGCCATGTTTGTCTCGTTTTTGGTGTTGGAGCACAGTGGGCGCCTGGTACGCATGATCCCGCTGGCAGGTGCATGCTGGCTGCGGCGGGACTGGTTAGATAGGTCTAGAGCAGAATTAAACACCGCTGTAAATATGTGTTGTGTGATGTGTATATGACATCAGAAGTGATTTGACAATGTGAGCAGCGCCAGTAACGTTCTACGAGCAACGATCGGGGAAACTGCACACATCTGTGGAGTCGTTTTTGACCACTGTTCTCGATTTCAGTGAGACTTTTCTGGCCAGAGGTTGCATTCCCACTGTCTACATAAATAAGCACCTCCATCACTTCTGATGTCACATCACTGTTGATCTCATGTTGCGCTGGCACAATGGCCGACGATCAGTGTTCATTGTCAATATCTCTTTGCTCGCCCAGTTTTGCCGGCGTCTGGGGCGTGTGGTAAGCCAGCTCATCAGTCCTGATCGCTCCACGTCGCTCCTGAGTGTGCGTACCGTGTTCACCGCGTGCCGGCCGCCCGTGTGGCGGCGCGCCGCGGCACCCGCTGACGCTGCCGTGCCCGCAGGCGGTGGTATGCTGACGCCACCGTACGGCCTGTACACGTACGCCGCGCCGCCCGCGCTGCTGCCGGCCGTGGCGCCGCTGGCACCGCGCGTGCCGGCGTACGCGTACCCGCAGAGCCTGTACTACTGGCAGGCGTACCCCTCGCCGCCCGTCTCGCCGACCTCATACTATAGCGGTCTCACGCCGCCGGTCACTACGCCGGGCATACAGACGGGGGCCGCCCCCGCGCTGGTGAGGATGAGAGGCCTGCCCTACTCCTCCAACAAACTTGACATACTCAAATTCTTCGAAGGCTTTGAGGTTAGGGGTCTTTCTGGTTATGGGTTTTCTTTAACGGCGCTGGCGCTGCGGAGAGGACGGGCGGTCGCCGGTGCATTGCCTCAGGCTCGTGGGAGCCGCAGGCGAGTATTCTCGCCTTGCTTCACGCCGCGCTGGAGAACCGCCGTCTCGAACTCCGCCGCGTCAGCCGCACGCTGCGGTGGCGGCTCGCTCGCCAGGCGCTGCCGCAGCGATAACAGCATGTTGCCGCTGTTCGTGCTGCTAACATTCGACGCGCGCGCATCGTGCTTCGCGGCATGTTGAACGGCGCACGGGGTCGAACGTTACAATCACGGTCACGTTTCGCAAAGAGGGCGTTTACGGCTGGGTTTTGTGTCGCCTCCCACGGCTCTGCACAGGCAGCCGAGCCCGGCCATGTCCAGAGTGCACTGGGCCAACAAGAACAATAATCAAACGCTATACACAGAGGCCAACCCAGCCAGAAAACGTGACCGTGTCAGCATTTGAAGCTGTGATGTGGCCAGGGACGAAGCCTTTAAACAACCCGTGAAACTGCTTGTGTACTGTTGCCCTTGAATTCGGGTCTTCCAGCTTATCAATTTTGTTTTTTCTCGTGCTAGTATCCAGCTTCTTACATCTCAGAAGTTTGCTCGTCTGCTATTTTCCGGCGTTTGTTTTAAAGACGCGCTTCTGCTCTGGCCACATAATCAGGAATGTCTTGGTGTTGGCTGGTCCGTATCAGAGTCGCACCCTAGAGGCAAGACGTCAGTGCGCATTGGTTTCGAAAGTGCGGTTATTCAATAATGTGGTGCGCATGGCTATCGGCGTTTGCCATCGATGGCCCGACGTCATGTCCTCGTGGGTGCGTCTCCAAGGATCATATCGGTGGCTGTGTATAAAACTGCAGAACGTCATTGGTGAGGACGCGATTGTGCATCGTTGATGAATGTGCGCATTTGCAGATAAAGTAGATTGCTGGACCGTTAGCATGCCACTAAACGCATGCAGGTACAGTGCGCAATGAAAGCTGTCTTTTCAATAATGTGTTCCGCTCAAAATATTGGTAACGACAGTGTTGCATAAATGACTTATGGCCTTGCCTTAATTGCGTTCTATCATTAAGTTGTCCCTGCTGACTTACGTTCCTTGCACTGTTTAAGTATAATTCTCACACCAGAACAGTGAGTGAGCCGTACTGTAATTATGCGTTGTATGGGAAGCTGAATGTCTCGAATTGATGTGCTTTTGCTAAAAAATATCAAGCATGGGTCGTGATCTTATTTCAACGGTAGGTATGGTTTGGCTTTCATCTCTATCTGCCTGAATTCTTTCCAAAACGTAATGGCGATCATTGCCATCAAGTCAAATCTCTGCTTTACTGACTTAAAGAATATGGTGATGATTTCTTGGCTCATTCTACTTTAAATCCTAAATCCAAAAGCGTTGCGCATTTTTAAGGTCTACTAGCTTTTTTCCCGACTGATTGCGTGCTACAACAATGCTAACAGCCCCACTAACTCACTGCCGTGCCGGTAAATTCGTCATGGTGCCTTACACTTATATGTTGATAGCTTGCATTAACATTTAGGATTACGCAAACGTGGGTGCTTGCCTGATGTTGCATACGAATAATAACCACGCTCATCAACAATGCATATTCTGATCGGCGTACTCACTTAACGTATCGACTTGAAACTGCTTTTGCCTCGAAACAGGGAGGTGTCATGCCCGTCTTGATTCCAGCACGTGGTATTGATGCATTGCTCCTCACGTGTTCCGTCCGTTAACCATCATTAAAGTATGCTCGTTTTTCAGACCATCACATGCGAAAGGAAGCGTAGCATCAACGCGTAACGTGCTGCCTTTTCCAGCCCAGCATCGCTGCTGACCAGGCGGCGGCGCTTCGAGCCGGGCCCGGGCCTGGCCTTTATGCATCGTGCCCTCGTGACCTGGCGGGATCTTTCCCAGATCGCACCGGAGTGTATCCAGCTGCAGCAGAACGCCGAGGGCCAGCCGTCCGGTGAGGCCATGGTCTCCTTCGCCTCGCGCACCGAGGCTGAGCGCGCCATCCTGGAAAAGAACAAACAGCATATAGGCACGCGGTACATAGAGCTATTCATGGCATCCTAGGCCCGCTCGCATCGCGCCGCCCTGCTGGTCGCCACGGCCACACCCGACTTGTGTGCGCCCTCCTATTGGTGGATGCAGGACAGTCCGTGCGGCCATTGGCTGGCGGAGCGACCTTGAAGAGGCCGCGCGATAGTCAGCGCGGCGATTGGCCGGTGGTGACCTTGAAAGGGGCGCCCATCAGTGAATGCGGGGCAGTTCGCGTCGCGGTTGGCTGACAGCCGACGGACGCCCTGGTTGAAGCGGGGGCCGTTTGTGCAATGCCTTCTGGCGAAAGTCGGTCGAGTGAGCGAGGCGCGAGACAGAAGCGAGTGAGAGAGGAGCGAATGTCTGCTGGTTGCGTTTCGTGTCGCGTTTTCCGCACCTCCGCGGCTCGCCGAAGCAGCGCCACGTTTTGTATTTTATTTCGACCGCAGTTATTCGCCACTGTCTTCCCATGAGCTTCCACACCGTCCACAAGGGGAGCCGCAGCGAGGTCAGCACATCATGGCCCCGGACCGAACCCCTGCGGCGGTCAGGTCTCCGACCCCCCCCCCCCCCCTCCCCCTCCCGGGCCCAGGCCGGCCTATTGTACCATAGTTGAGAGTGGACTCGCCAGCCAACCGATAGCTCTCTGTTATATGCCCAGCCGTTTACGTAGTTTCGTTAACTTTACGGATGTTTATGTCAACATTATCACAGAGTCTTCCGCGTATGTGCCGGCTAAAGGGCAGATGACCTTGCTGGATGTGCTGCAGGCGCCACTGCGGCCGGCACTTTGTACATAGTTTGTTTTAGACAAGAATTGCGTTCTTGCACAATCATGCATTCGACGTGCCTTATTTGCATTTAGCTGAACGTGTTTTATGTAGAGAGTGATTAGCGTAAGGTGACGCGTTGCGCCTGGTCGCAATGTTCTTGAATCTACTTCAGCCATTCCACGCGGGAATTCCGTGCGGGAGCCTTATGGTCTGTGGGGACCGCAGTACACGTGCAGGGTGGGGCAGGGGGGATATAGCGAAATTGGTCACGGCGTGTCACTTCTTCGTTCTCGGATGTTGATATTCAAACGCGTTAACGAGTATCTTGCCGTAAAGTTCGGTTTGTAACTGATTTATTTCAAATGTAGCTGTGAGGTTATGAGAAGTGCGTGTTTGTCGCCGCGAAAGCCGATGTTTCGACTCTCCGTTGCCGGCAAAAATCTGCAGGTGGGAGCTGTCATGCTACCCGTTTTATTCCTAGTCTTTTTGAGTTTGTGATACGATTACATGACCTGGTGGATTTCCCAGAAAGGTCGGCCTCGGTTATTTGGTCAAGGTCTCAATTTTGACGTGCGATGCTCGTGCTATGTGATGCACCCAAAATTAAATAGTGTTTTGGATTTTATTGTTCTGCATTTGTGCTGCCGGTGTCGCCTCTGGAGTGCCGGCAGCGTGATTGCTGGCTGTTGAACACTCGTGAGGTTGCGTGTAGCCCATTCTGACTTCCTGTCATTGAATGATGCCGCACAAAGTCGCCACCAAGGCCCATGACGTAAATGTACAAGGGATGGGGCGCCAACGCTATGAACTAGTTCTAAGGCAGCATCATCTCATCGTTGCTCATAATATCTCGGGCCCGCTGTGTCTGGACTGGGCCCACAACCTGACCTGAACTGACCCGACCAAAGGTCAGACCCAGCCGCTTGTCTGTGATAAACAGTAGTTGACGTTCGGAGTGAGAAACAGAAACATCTGGGTACGGGATATCGGGCTACTATCTTCAGCATGCGGTGCAGGATTCGGGAAGGAATATTCGGGCGTGATTTTCAAGTAACAATTGACGCTGAGCGTCGGTGGTCATGCATAGCGCTGGGTGCGGCGCGCTCTTCACTGGAAGCATAATATGTTAATCTTGGCGGGCACGGTGTCTCTCTCTCTCTCTCTTCTGTAACCGAACATTGCTATGGCCACTGTTGCGCTTAATTGTAAATCTTGAGTGGTGTTAGGTTAGTTTGCTTGCTTTGCTTGCTTCCGGCTGGTCACTACTGCACGTCGTCACGGGTTCCAAGTCGTCGAAGGAGGAGGGGGAGGGTTCCACTACACCCTTGGCCTGTCGCAGGAGGAGGGTGCAGTGGAACTGCACGCGTCTTTCGAGAGCCATCGCTGCCATACGGCACTAGACCAATGAAGCCAGCAGCGCTTATTTGCTGGAAGCTTGGGGCTCGCAGGCTTTTGGGTGACCAGTTGCTTAAAAGTCAGAATGTAACGGGACAAAACACTGGCGCGGGCGAAGGCAAGCCCTGGTCTAAGATTGGTGCTGACGCGGCTGGTCTCGGCGGTTGTGGTTCATGACCGACCGTGCCGAACCTCCACCTCCCTATTCGGGGCGAAGCCTTCGTGGTGTCAGCACTGCCGTCTGGTGGCTATTTAATGAAGCCTGAGGTCAGGTTTGGCCCACCAGGTGCCGCCGCGCGCGCGGGCTGTTTGTGGGCTGAACGCCCAGCGACGCCGGCTACGCGCGCCGGAGCCAGGTGCCGGCCGCCCTGACCCGGGTCGCAGGGGCGTGGCCCGGCTCCGAGCCGCCCCGCCCAGACGGCGGCTGCAGGCGGACCGGCGCGGCGCCACGCCCCCGCATAGCTTGTGTTTGATGAATTTTATCTTTTAAGGGAAAAAACAGAAAAATCACTCCGCAATGTCAGCAGCGTATGATTTTCATTGTATGGCTAAGCGTTGTGTGTTTATTTTATGTTCTTAATGCATTCATATCAATAGTTTAAAGTGTGCGTGTTGTATCTGATATTTGTTGACGCCCTGTAAGTACGTCTGCACGCCGTCGACCGTCGGTTTCGACCCACGGTGCCGCGAGACGCTCCCGACAGGCTGAAAACCAGAGCTGTGCGATTCACTTGATAACGGAAGGTCCAGTGCAACATTCCAAAATCCTGACGTACTCGTCTGCCGGCCTCTGGACGATCCTGAGAGTAGGACCGAATATCTGATTGTGTTCGGAACGGGAACGAATGTTCTTCGTTCAAGAGAGCGCTATTTACGCCTGTAACACCAGGACGGAAGCTCACGTGTTTATATGTGTGCGTGTTTGTTTGTGTGAATTTTCACGTTCGCACATTACTGAAACATACGCTGCCCTCCCGCCTCGTCTCTAAGCAGCTGTGCAATTTGATCACAAGTATACTTTATAGAATACATGTGAATAACTATGCCGAGCGCTTTATGAGTTTGGGTCTGCGAGAGACGGAATCTCAATCTCCTGTTGTGGTGAAACGTGTTGGTGGTGTTCGATGGCCGTAACAAAGACCGGGTGACCGGAGCAGCCAACAATCAATAGAAGCCATCGCATTTGCTGGATAACTTGGGTACTAGCCAAGTCCTTATCTTGCTGTTACATCATCGCCTGTGCTGTCCGCTCTGATGAAATGTACCACCTATTCGCCCAGTCATGAAAACGAGTACTACACTTGTCGTAAATGTCGTCGAAATTGTATCGTGAGAGCCGTCTGAACACTGCGTGATTCACACCATGACGGATATGGCTGAGGGCTGACTGATCACGAGAGACCAAGGAATGTCCCAAATCGGATCGCGGAGGCTCACTCGGAGGTGAAGCATTATTACTTAGTCATGCTTTAAGTGTTGTCCGACGATAAATCGAAAAAAATACGCAGAGTCATTCCCTGCCCACTCAACCATCGATAATGCAATTTCAGCGTACCACCACCTTAGACCTGAACCAAACTTGGTTTATGGCTTATATTGTGCTTCGACAGGATCGCAAACAGAGCCTTGGTAAGATGAGGCCACAGGGTTGGCAATGGACCCCTGATGGCGAAAAATATCCCAAAAACCATCATATTTGGCCCATACGATTTCGAACGGGCCCGTTTCGTCGTTTTATGTTCATTTAGCTTTTTTTGCTGGAACAGACGCCAAAGAAGTTACTGGAGGAGCAGATTATGTTGGCGTTTTGAGCAGTCGATAAACTGAAGGCATCGGGCGTTGATTTGCTGCATGGAATAAACCTCTGGCGTTATTTATTTTACAGATGTTCAGTGGACTGTTTATAAAGCGACAAAACTCAGAACCTTTGTCAGAATCTGTTCTGGGTCGTGCGGATATATTGAGGACTCCGTAAACGTTGACTGGCTGTAGATCGGAATGGGATAAAATATTGTACTAACACGGCCAAACCATTTTTGACTGGGAATGCTCAACCGTCAGTGGGAGGCGATTTCTGAAAAATAATGTACCATGGTTGTGAACATGCGCGCTGCCAAGTCTGAGAAAAAACAGATGCTGCGCGAGGGCGTTGCGGTTTTCCAAGGCAGCGTGGCGTCGGTCCCGCGGTTAGCACGAGGTGGCGACCAACGGGGGGACAAGTCACGAGTGTTGAAGACTACCTTTCAATGCTCTATGACATTCATTCGTGTATTAAGAAGGCAGTCCTGAGAAATATTGTGCCTGTCTGATTTTAAGGCTCATTTAGATTGAGAAGAGGAACGAATTATCATTTACGGCATTGCGAACTGGTGCTGGGATGTGGTGGTGAAACTGGATGAATACAGGTATAATATCATTTTTTCGTGTTGCTATAACGTCGATTCGATTCAAGAATAACATCAAAACCTCTAGAGGTAAAAACGACGTCAACGTCCAATTTTTAATCAGCTAGATTTGATTTTAAAAGACTTTTGGACCGATTATTTCACGACGATCGTTCTCACGTGCCCAGTGCCCGTCGCCTGGCGTTATGTGCGGTGGCCAACGCCGTTCGGTTTTATGGAAACCGCAACCTCGGCCACGGCTGCTCTTGCTACTAAGATTGCGAGCGCGCAGGGCAACCTCGGCCACGGCTGCTCTTGCTACTAAGATTGCGAGCGCGCAGGGCAACCTCGGCCACGGCTGCTCTTGCTACTAAGATTGCGAGCGCGCAGGATCAAAAAGTTTGTGTGTAGCTCTGTTTCACGTGTCGATTCTGCAAAAGGAAGGACAATCTCTGGGGGCCCAGCATGGAGTGGCCTTTCTTCAAGTTAGACCTTCATTTCGAATCCCATACTTTTGACCACTAGTGAGACCACTTACATTTTCCTAGCAAGGGTGTAAAACAGGATACACACTATTGTTCCCGGCCAAGGGCTGAAGTGGCATTCAGTCCCAGCGCGAGGTGCCTGTCGACTGCCATTCTGGCGGTACGGGGTCGGGTCCTATGATCGATCCGGAGGTCCACAGAGGGATACATAATACATTGGTCCCCTGTGTTCACCTGTGATCTCGACAGTTGGTCTCAGATCGATGCAAGGGCTGACATTGATGCTACAACATCCCTGATCGCCGCACGCGGTCTAAGAATTGGCACAGAGACTCCAGTAAGTTCTAACCCCTCTCTGAGCCGACTCATCCTTGGTGCAGAAGATATACCAACTAATACTGCTATATTCCGATGAGATGATGACAAACATCTACATGACAATCCTTCGTCGCGTAACTAACCAGAAATCGTAAGGCCCATTAAGCGCACAACTCGTGAGCTACTTAAACTACTTTATACTACTTAACTACTACTGCTACTTGAACTACTTAAACTGCTTTCGTGACATAAACTACTTAACACTTAAAATTTCCCAGATTTGCTGAAACACCATTTTCTCCGAAGTAGAACCTGCATTTACTGTGGACACTTTAAGAGATACTGGAATATTTACGACATAATATCACAGAACAGTTATGTTGCTAATATTATGTCTACGCCTGGCCGGTTGTTATCACAAAAGGGGTCAGCTGGCCATATTTTTATTCACGATGAGTTTCATGCCTCGAATAAGCATGGCCCCAAAGACTAAGCTCGTTGAAGGAGCCTAACAAATGACCAGCATAGTCGCCCGATTTGAATCCCGGGTTTCTCTCCGCGAAGGGCTTTGCAATTTCAGGAGTACGCGGAGCTCGAACACCATCCTAGACCTAAAAAGGCGCATCAGAATGGCCATGAAAGCCATAATATAGTCACCGTGTGTTTCCGAACGGTCGAATCGCTATCGTCGTTAACTAGCGCTATCGTCGTCCTAATCACTCGTTGTCTAGCAACAGACCGCAACACAGATGGCGCTCCAGTCGGCAACATAGCGGGACGCAGGGCTCAGTCGCGGGTCGACATGGATCGCGCGTGGAAAACTTCGCAGCCCCTCGTTCCAAACGCATGGAAGACCCAATAAACTTGGCACGACTCGTATACTAGTGATACGTCAGACGGGACGTCAGGGCGTCCCACTACGTCAGAGGTGCGCCAGTAGGACGTCAGATACTAGTGAACACGGGAGACGGGGCATCAGGCGCGCTAGCGACGGCAGCAGCAACGCGTCACAACCAGGACACTGCCGAGCGCGGGCGGTGACGTAAGTAACGGCCAGCCGGCTCCAAACGAACTTCGCTCCCCTTGGTCCGCCGGCCGACCGCCCGGCTCTCACTCCTCGGAGTGCTGCGCTGCTGCCAGCGCTCTAGTTGAGTTGGTCTGTTCGCCAGCCAGATCAAGCTTCCGCTGCTGGCGCCGACCGCCGCACGCCAGGCCCGCCGATCGCCAGCATGGAGCACGTCACTAGCCACCAGAGCAAGGCAGCCTCGGACCTGTACCGGGTCCTGGCCGGGGCCAGCGCTGACAACGTGTTCCTCTCACCCTTTAGCATCAGCACGGCGTTGTCGATGGTGTTCGGCGGAGCGGACGGCAACACCGTTCTCCAGATGCAGCAGGCTCTGGCGCTACCTGAGGACAGGGTAGCGCTACACAACGGCTACAGTCGGGTACTGAAGATGCTGCAGGATCCGCCGGACGTCACACTGAACACGGCGAACAAGCTGTACGTGCAAAATGCGTACAAGATCTTGGACACCTACTCTGGTCTGCTGGAGAAGCAGTATCTGAGCGAGCTGAAGAGTGTTGACTTCGGCGACGCCGCCGGTACAAGCAAGCTGATCAATGGTGATGTAGAGGCACTGACAAAGGGAAAAATCAAGAATCTAATCGATTCAGGTGCTTTGAGCCGAGGTGTTCGTCTTGTACTTGTGAACGCCATCTACTTTAAGGGCTCGTGGAAACAGAAATTTGCGATCGAAGCCACAATGAAACGGGACTTTTTCATCAGCCCGGGAATCGCTGTCGGAACAGACATGATGCATTTGGATGATGTGAGACTCAACTGTGCAAGCCTTACGGACATTGCCTGCAAGGCCCTTGAGCTGCCTTACAAGGGAGAAAGGTTTAGCATGCTTATCCTTCTTCCCGACGAAAGGGATGGCCTGAGGTCCCTGGAGGAGAAACTATCGACCGCGTCGATCCAGGCCATCTGCGCCAAGCTTCACAATCAGATGACGATGGTCGTGATGCCGAAGTTCAAGCTCGAGACAACTTACGACCTCGTCGATCATCTGAAGAGACTTGGCATCATTGATCTCTTCGATGCAAACGCAGCCAACCTGTCTCGAATTTCCGACACTAAGGACCTGTCCGTGTCCAGCGTGGTACACAGGGCGTTCATCGAGGTCAACGAAGATGGCAGCGAGGCCGCCGCTGCTACAGCTATGGTCATGGTGCAGTGTTCAGCGCCCGTGCACACATACAAGTTTGAGTTTGTCGCCGACCATCCGTTCTTCTTCGCCATCATCGACAGCAAGACTGGCCTGACGCTGTTCTCGGGCCGCTACATCAAGCCCGAGTAGCTAGCACAGGCCAGATGCCTTGTAATTCAGAGCAACTGAACGTCTCACCTTTGCGTGTTTTAATTAACGACGTCCATTGGCCATTCATCTGATCGTCCGATTCCGCAACGATTGTCCGATTCCCGCATCCGACGAGTAACCGAGTGTGCAGTAGAGTACAGCGCGTCAGCCCAAATCGTATTTTAAAGTCGGAATAGATGTTTTCTTATGCACAATTAAATGTAAAGGCCACTGACCGTTTGCATTTAATTGGAGGTGTCTTTGCGTTCCAAAATTGCGCATTAATGTGATCGGTTTGTGGTGATTTTAACGTGGCAACAAATTTTTCCTAGATCATCTCTGATGTGAATACACTGTACCTAAATAAAGATAGCCATCACAGGTTTAATTTCAGGGGATTGCCGACTGCACCTGCGTATGTCCACTCTGCAGATCCACAAAGCACCACCTGGCCAACAGGTGGTGCTTTGCGCGTGCTGACAATGTCGCCGGCCACGTGTTACGTGTATAGCTGGCTGGGATGGTCTTCATAATGTGCTTCTTATTATAGGCCAATCCACTGCTTATTTTCCGCGAGACTCAATCACTCTCAGTCTGGAAGTCAGTGGGTGTTGTATGGACGTTCGGTTTCCGTTTGTGTTATGAAAAACGACAAGTCCGAACGAGGGCTAGGTTATGATACTAGTGGAGCATTCGTTTCAAGGAATATGTAGAACTATTATTTTCAAGATTTTATCAAAACCTTCTGAATGAATAAATTGCTGGGGTCACGCTAAGCTTAGATTTCACGCTAAGTGGCGCCGGTTGTAAAAACTTTCACCCCTGCCAGCCGATCGTGCATTTCCAGGTCAACGGTAGAATTTGACGCACCGCATGTCAAGGACAAATGGCGACTGCTTAAAGTGACTCGAACCCAGTCTGCCACGGTTGGATGGACCGGAAGGCAGGCGCTCTATCCGGCTGAGTTACCAGGAAAAACTGATTGAATTATTGTGACATGTTGCTAACTGCTTGCGTGACAGACTAGTGAAGACCTTGCTCGTGCCAGTCCTCGCGAGTCAGCCAAAGATATATCTTGGCATCCTTCAGTTTCTATTTGCCAGTAATTTGCACTCACCAGCAATCACACCACCTATTAATGTCCACGTGCACAACCAACAGCAGCCTCGCGCCTCTAGATCCAGTGGGCGTGCGAACATACATGGTAAGAAACGGCTTACCTTCCATACTGCCTCCAACGGAAACGAGTCCTAGTCACCTGTCTCTATGGGAATTGTTTACTGATTAACCAATGAGAAGCGAGTAAGACATCGTTGGTTAAACCAAGCACAGAGTGTGGGATTGCCTTGTGAGCCCATAGCTATGTTAAGCGACAGGTGGTTGGTGAGGCGCTGGGGGCGTCTTTTAAAAGGAAGGACTGAGTCGCATTACGGATGGCATGCATAGGTCATGTTCTGACGAAACAGATGGCGGCTTCTAAGGACTTTACGTCTTAAGACATCTGCAGGTTTTAGAATTATGTAGGTCGTAACTGCCGTGAGATATAACTTTGTTACAATTATGATTGGAATGTATGCTGGTTTTTATCTAATAAATCTTAGACCTGTGTTTCAAGCTGCAAATAACTAAAGTTGCATTTTTCCATGCTGCCAATCCGCCCAGCTTTGTCTTCAGTAGCCGCTTTACCAGTTTCAATGCTTCCTCTCGCTTTTGTTTTGCCCGAGGAGGCTCTACCTGCCTGCCGAGTGTCTCTCTAACTCCTCTACCTGCCGAGTGTCTCTATCCATACCAGAGTCCTTTTCCTGCAACATGAGGTGCCCCAACACCCTGTCTTTCACCTGCTGCTCCAGCGGGCTCCCTTCATCCCCCCCCCCCCCCCCTCCTTCTCTCTCAATTTCTTTTCTTGACATGCACATTCTGATAAGGTTCTTGGTTTCCTTCTGATCTTTGGCGGGATTTACACGGCTGATTTTGTCTGGTCATGAAGCCAGAGCAATTTTATGCACTGCACCACGCACTCCATCTTGTAGGTGCAGGAAATTTGGGGTCCGCCTTTGTATATGCTAAGCTTGATAATTCGGAGCTTGGTGCACATAAATGGTGTGGTGGCAGACAGTGACGTTCATTGTTATGTCCAGTTAATGGAGCACCTGGTCTGTTACTGGCGTGCTCGATCCATTCATGCCCACTTCACTTGCTTTGCCTATGGTTTCACAGCACAGCCTTCTCCCGTGGCACTTCTACTGTCTTGTTTGCAGCTCTGTTGGGCACCTTAGATGCCAAAAGCTTTGTTCGTTGACCAAAAACATCTGTCGCTTACTTGAGACGCCACTTATGGCCCTGGCTTACACCTTTGGAAGTCATCATAGCCATGGGCGTAGGAACAGGGGGGGGGGGGGGCAGGGGGCCGTGGCCCCCCCAATTTTCAATGTGGAGGGAGCCAGCAACGTTAGCTGGCCCTCCCACATTTCAGATTAAGGTTGCATTTGGCTTACTTTTGCACTGCATTAAAAATGCATGCCGATTTACCTAGTTCACCAGCCATCTCCCTTAAGATGCGTCATCTTTTTCGTTTGCTCATTGGCCATCACTTAGTGTTACAACCGCCGGGCCGGCGCCGCATGGCCTGGAGACTGCAACGCCAGGTGTCGGGGCTGTTATTGCTATGGCCTGCGAGCACGCATGTTCAACACCATATTACGTAGTTTTCTTATCAGTTATCAGTTCTGACAGGATCTTGAGCAATATAAGACGATCTTGAGCTAGCCATGTTAATACAAATTATGAACCCCGTTTCATCTGCAATCTACAGTCAGGGAGAACTCAATACCTCTGAAGAACACAGAAAAACATGGAACTGGAATCTATGTGAAAACTATCGGACTGCCTGCAGTGATCAGGGATGTTGTTGCGTCAGTTAGGGTTCCTGTGCTGATCTAGGGCTAACTGCGCGGATCAGAAGGCCTCCCGTGTCAGGGATGGGAACAATGTGATATGATATATCCTCCTAATGACCTCCGGATCGACCAGGAGATGCCGCCCGTGCCACCAGAATGATAGCCAGAAGACACTTCGCGATGGGACGGAATGTCCCCTCAGCCCTTGACCGGAAACGGTAATGTGCCCCTGATGTTCTACTCAAGAGGCCCCTCGCCCGGAGGGGAATAAGGGGTCTCATTATTGTCGAGTAGAGTGGAGCTCTCATTATTGTTGAAAAGCACGGGTCGAAATGAATTTTTTTTTTAAAAACCAGCAAGGTCATGCATGTTTGCACTGAGAACGTTCATTTCTTTCAGAATGTAGTATTGAAACAAATTACATCAAAAGGCTTGAACATGGCCACCCGCGACCTCGAGGGCAAGGACAAGGATGGTCTGGATTGCAACTTCCGTAAAACCGACAAGTTTCGGCCACTGCAAGTGCCACCAGACGGCGGGCGCCGTGTTTATCTGTCTTCTGGACAGATAAATAGCTGAGGAAACACGGAAAATAAGATTTTACCTTCACTCTTTCAGTTCAGTCACCAGATTCCAGCCCCTCTTCGCGGTGCTTTAGCGGCCAGTTCGTCCTTTTCATCAATCTAAAAACTGTATGCGTGAAATATGCCCTCAGACTGCTTTCTAAATACAAGATTTGATGTCATGAAGCGTTCAAGGATGCTTTTTCAGAAGCGTCATCATTTTCGTCCACCCGTCGGCCGCAACTTAATCTTAGCTGCTAGGACGACGATGCGTGGCCTACGGAGACTGCAACGCCTGGGTAGGAGGCTTGTGTTTCTAAAATTTTCGAGTGCGCATGCTCAAAATTACGCCACATAGCTTGTATATCTAGTTGATTCAAGTGTTTAAGGATGATATTTCAGAAGTGTCATCATTTTCGTTCACCGGTGGGCCACGGTTAAATGTTAGCTACTGGGCTAACGTTCCGAGGACAATGGAGACTGCAACGCCTGGTATCGAGGTTTTTGTTGCTAAGATTTGCGAGCGAGCGTGTTAAAAAACACGTCACATTAATTGTGTTACTAATCGATTCTGACTGAATGGTGAACATTTTCAGACAAATATGGCCTGGCCATATTAATACACATTGTTGACCATTCGATTTGCAATAAATTTTCGTCTTCAAATTTGGATCAAACATATCGATCTACAATCAACCTCCGCAATGTCCTCAATGTCTGTAGAGCCCAGATGAAAGATTTATAAAGCTTCTGAATTCTATCGGTTTAGAAAGAGTCAGCTAACCATTGTAAATTAATGAGCGCCGGTGATTTCTTCCATGCAGTCATTGAACGCCTGATTTCTGCGGCTTATTGACCTCAAAATGCAAACAGAAGTGAGCTGACGGTAGCTCCTGGTTTTTGTTCTGGTTACAAGGTAAAAATAACAATACAACGAACAAAACCGTGTCACTTGTGAACAAGTAGGCCATATCCGGGGATTTTTTGGGGGGTCACTATAAGATGGGCTTTTGACAACCCTATGCTCCCTCTTGGCAAGGCTCTGGCTACGCCCCTGCCTACACACAAAAGGAGATCAAGTCGCGTACGTTGCATGCTGGGCAATGAAGTGTCCGTTGGGCCAATCCATACCTAAAGCAGACAGCTTCCCGGAGGCTATTTTTCTACGATGGTGTGGTATAAGGGAAGATTATTCGGGAAAAATGCTGTTGCAGGTGTCCAACACATGTTTCATACACCATGTAAAAGTAACGCTGATCCAAAAGTATGCAGCAAAGTAGCCACACGATCAGCTCGCAGTCAGTCATGTGGGAGACATCCAGGCCAGGGCAGTGACCACCTACGGCGGACAGGAGCAGGGCCCAGATAAGGAACAGATGGGCCCTATTATGTGGCTTGATTCTTGAAAGAGAATCTCCAGTTTTATGGATTTTGTCGCATTGTTTCTAGCAGTTTGAAGCTCCCGAATTTGTTTCCGCCTAAAATGCTGCGACAAGTCTTATTTTTTGAAAAGCAGCCAGCGAAATAATGGCGCATGAAAAACCTGGCGCACTGTGAGCCATCGATCCACTTTCAAAATTTTCACCAGCCTATATCCATGCGTATTTTGGCGTCTACGCTGTGCAGGCAAATGCTTCCTTAAAGACCTAAAATACCTACCCGCTCGTGAAATTTCGTCTCCCCAGGAAAGACAATGTTAAAATGGACGAATAATCTAGGGAAGCTGGATAGCCTTATTTGCCAAATGACAGATAAGTCAAAAAGGCAAGATTGTGCACCAGTGGTGAACAGCTCTAGATGCGTAGCTAGCATAGCAGCCATGACAATTTGAATAAAGAGCGATAACGATCACCATCCCTACCCCCCCCCCCCCTCCCGGTCATCGGGC